ACTTAAGTAGAAGCTCGTGTCTTGTTTCAAGCTAAATTTCCGGAAGTTGTGATACAAAGCCCTTGACTTTTGGGATCAACCAAATTGTTTGTGTGAACAACTATTTGCCAATGGTATTGATTATTAGCCACATAACATCAAAAATCGACAGGAGTTAGAAAAAGTGTAATGCCGTATCCCGAAACAGTGAATAACTGGCGTTACATTAGCTTCTACGATAGCTTAATTGATATGCACTTCTGGAGAGTGCCTAGTCATCAAGTAATTCTTAGTCTTCAACAGCTTTTTAGCTCAAATTGATTCATTAAAAAAAGGCCTGTTAAAATATATTGGAAAGTATTAAGTTACTGGATAAGTTTGACGAGTAGAATAGTAAAAAAAAGGAGAGGAAAAAGAATGAAGATATAATTCATGGCGGCCTGCATGAACCTTGGGCTACCAAACTACCCAAAGAACATTTTTTTTCATGAAATTCTTTCCTTTCAATTTTGTATTAACCATTTAAATATGTTCTTTGAATATAACATGTAACCTTGCACATTTTTAAACTGTTTCCAATTCTCCGTTTCTCGAAACAATAACAAACCAGAGAGAAAATGTTATTTCACATGGAAGTGAACTTTTCGGTGCACTAAAGTACATCATATTTCTGTCCGTCAGATAACTAACCTAAGTGCAGACTTTTGAATGAACCATCACCATCAAACTTAGGCTTGCATTTCAGTTGATTCTTCATTATGGACCGAAAGCGCATCCGAAACCAGCTAGATATTTCATATGATTGTCTTGAATACTGTTATTATTAAAATCATTCAGACACCACAACGATTTCTTATGAAAGCATTGTTCTGAGAGTGAATTTGTTGGAATATAACATGCTGAGAATCCCACACAGTCATACATATTGTAACCCAACGCTCCATCATAGAACTGAGGATAGAATGGTAGACAACACACTACCTCAAATTAAGTGACTTTGAAAAGGCTTTCGACAGCGTCGACCGAGAAGTAGTTTGGAAACTCCTTCAACACTACGGTCTCTGTGCCACAAACAATTATCAACCTCATTCAAAAGCAACACGATGATGCTACCTACCAAGTGATCCACAATGGAAAGCTCAGTGATGCCTTCGAAGTGGACATAGGAGTAAGACAAGGTTGCCGTCTACTATCACCAATGATCTTCCTGATTGTCATCGACCAGACTGGACTCAACTGCATCATGCAACAAACTAAGAACAGCGACAACATACGCATACGTTGACTACACACATGAAAACACACCAGAAGAACAAATGGATTTCACTGATGATCATTTATGTCTAATGTGTTGTCACACAAACTTGAAGATCGACAGGCGAAGACCAACAAGTTGACAGAAGGGGTGAAGTGAGGTGAGGTGAGGTGAGATGAGGGGGGGCGGGGCGAGGTGAGGCGAGACAACGAAGGAAGATGGGACTTCCTTCGCATGGATGTAGACAAGACACAGGTGATGAAGATACCAACCAACCAACAAACAAACCGACAACAACAACAAACACCAATCATCATCAATGAGAGGAAACTAAAGGAAATTGTCTCGTTCACCTACTGCCTAGGCAAGACAGCATCGTCTTAACTACAGGTGGCGGTGGTGGCGGCACAGATGAGGATGTCAAAGCCAGGATCAGAAAGACAGCATGATAGGCTTTCATCAATCTGAAATAATCAATGTGGAGATCCACTCCACTCCACTCCACTTCACTGCATTGCACTGAACTCCACTCCACTCAGCATAAAGCTTGAACAACATCCAGATTTTCAACACCAATGTCAGTCAAGTCAGTGCTTCTATACTATATGGTTGGAGGAGTTGAAGTGTTGCGAAAAGCATTTCCAACAAACTACAAACAACGAGCGGACCAACAACCTATCACCCAACAAATATGCGTAGAAGAAGGTGGAGATCGATTGGATTGGACATTCACTGAGAGGACCGTTTGGGAACATCACGCACCAGGTGAGGCCATTTCGTCGAGTGGGACCCGAATGGGAAAAGACGAGTTGGGCATATCCGGGTGACATAGAGGAGATGGTGTGAGAAAGAAATGAAAGCTTGTTGGTAGTGATGGGGCGAGGTTAGCAAGACTGGGGAGACGAAAGTGAAATGGGGACGTGCTAGTGAAGTCCGCTGTCCCACTAAAAATCCAAGGGACAAATAATAATTACGGTACATATTACCAATTAATGATCAGAATGTGATCATGAAAAATATTGAGAATGATACGAGCATATGAACAGATGTTCTAACAGGCAAACTATGTTAACGCCTTAGAAATCAATCAGTTTGTGTAATACTAATCAACTAACAAAGCTTAGTTACAGCCGTAGACTTTGGTTTTGTGCTTCTTGATACATGACAACGAGATATATCTACTGCCGCGATGGAACTGATATCTCTACTGTGGTTCTTACCTGCGTTACAAAGTTCTGTAGTAAGAAACATTACCACTGAGTAACTGAAGCCACGAATAAACTTATTCAGGACTGTATTAGTTACACTTATTTGTCACTGAGAGTAACTACATTCATGTTGTCAAATCCTTAGTGTAGACAAAGTGACTGGATAAATGAGGACTAATTGTAGATAAAAGAGCTTTAGGACTGAGAATAAAAACTAAAATTAAAGTCTATTGCTTTCTATTCTCTGAAATATTTTGATTAACACGAAGGATAAGTTAACAAGTCCAGGTATTTCAATCGGTATCTAAGTATTTAATTGTTACTTAAGAGACAATTAAATGAGGAAAATGATCAGGTAACTTAACGAACATATGCTATTAGCCCAAGGAAAGTAGCATAAGAAGTTTATACGAAATCAGCTTTTTTTCTGCATCTAATTGACAGTAGTACATGCAGTAGAGTGAACGGAATCAATGTTTACATTGGTTTGCTACAGAGTACGGAATTGTCCTCATTGGATTTCAATCCACTTATATTCCAAAGTATTTATTTGTCGACTAATATAAGTAAAGAGCATCTTAATATTGGATTAATGAAGTATTGGAGTATATCTTACCATATATATTTTTATTTGGAATGTATAAGGCTTGCGGTGTCTTTTACTGAGTTATACAGTATCACCACACCCTATGAATTAAACTTACCTATCATAGAGCTCATCAGCAAAAAAGATAAAGTTTCGTTTTTACTGTAAACCTTTAAGAAAACATGATATCTTTAAATGAGAGAAACGATTCTAAATGAAGTAATACGATTTGTTGTTTTGATAATTTTAACTGGTTGTTACTACCGCCAACCCAGTGAGTAATGTCGTTCCCTCTGAGATTCCCACCGACCAATCATCACTTCAAACGACAAACCGTTATCCTACAGGCCAATATCACACAATAGCTAGCCTCCAGGCAACACACAACTACCAGCATCAATAAATCACCACTCCTCTTCTCATATTCGTTGTAGGTTCCAGAGATTTCACCATTCAATTGTGAGGCCAATTTGTGTTGAAAATGACTCAATGTACAATCTAGTCAGAAATTAAATTGTATTTGACAAATGTGAATGGACAGTGGTGTGGCGTTTACAACTGACTGTGTAATGTGACCATTCTGAAGAGACAAAATGTGAGAAGATTCATAAGGTGAAACCAATCCATCTCATTTCCTTCATTCTTGTTACGACCTGCACCAATCATCATCAGTGTTGACTGGATGATAAGTGCTGAAGACAGATTGAGATGATGGAAGTCAGAGAATAAGGGAATGAAATATGGTGTAGAGACAAATCAAGGATTGCTGTCAAGCGTATGATAAATGGAAGTGTGATGAAGATTGTTGTGTGAAATCTCACTGCATTGACGATTTCCATGGAGACATGCAGTGATCTCTGTGTGAGGTGTTTGAGTAGATCAGTGGTGTAGAGTTTGAAGGTGTGATGAAGTTTACGAGTTATACGTATAGTTGAATGTTGTGATGTTCGGAGTCTATTACTTGGGTGTGTATATAGAGGATTTGTGAAAGTTGAGAATCAGAAATATCAGTCGGATGGGTTTTGAATAGAATTTAAGGAGAGTACTTGAGATATTGTTTGTAATCGACATGAAGTGATCAGATAGGTTTATAAGATTAGTAGTATTATTTGTGTGTAGGCATGTTTCGAGGGATAATTTGAAGTGTGAATTGAGTGAAAGGGTTTGATGAGGACTAGTTAAGTGGGAGTTCATGATTTCGCTATCTTTACTACTGGTATAAGCGTATTCAGGTTCATCATTTAGTAGACAGTACTAGGAACACTTTGGCTAGCTAATGGCATGTAATTGTCACCGAGTTCACATGTAGTTTCAAATTTATAATCTCTGGATCTAATATTTACAGTTTACGAACTACTGACAAAAACTGATACTCATTAAGGGTGTGATCGTTCTTCTCCTCATGGATCATTATTCTTATATGGGTGAATTTAATGACAAAGTTGGCTTTTTCTTATTGAAAGTTAATGGTTAATCTTATGCCTTAAGCTTCAACATATATTAGACTGAAGGAATACATATGGTAGATAGGCAACAGCTACTGAAGTTTCGAGTGCAACATCAACAAACTAATGTCAAAATATCATTTAAAGCCTTTGACATTCAATTAGCTGTTCATTAACTAAAACTTGATCTTTGCCTGCAAAAGAATTATATACAGTCATTATTCTTGTTATCCTAACACTTTTCCTGATTCATTTTTTTTTCCATTTGTTAAATCTTCTTTTGTCACTATTGTTGTAAACATTATTGCCGACAGTTTGAATAGTTCCCGGTGTTATTTCACCTTATCATCTTCATCTTATAAAGAGTATAAATTTTACCTAATCTAACTTGTTTGCCTAACCCTATTATAAATACTTTACTTGTCCACCATTTCTACTATCTTTACATCCATTTCTGAGGTTTATACACTCTCCGAATGATTCTGAATATTAAATAATCTGTATAGATAGGTTCGCAGAAGATGGTATAGATGAAAAGATTCTACTTTCCTTAATAAGTAAAAATGACAACAGTGTAACACAATATATTTTCTGGTTATCATTCAGAGACTTCATAAATAACTGTAAAAATTGGCTATTGTTATCAAGACTAACAGTCCCAACTTATTCATCTTTCAATATAATTATTTTGAATAAAATGTCAACATAATGATAAATAGGAAAGAGTGAAGAGAAAATTTTTAAAAAACACTAATCTAACTAAGAGATTTAATATATAGATCTATTTCATGAAGGACTGATATCATTGGCAAGAACATTCAATGCAGTCCAAAGCTGTCTACCAACTTGTCCAATATATGATGGAGGTAAAAGAAAACCATAACGACCTTCATCACATAATTCTATTGTATAAGCATAGGGTACTTTTAATTCACCAGCAACGTAGTCATCTGTTGCTCCTGCTGCTTCATCTGTTGAAAAGAAGTAATAACACCAAAAAAAAGAAAATAAAACAGCTAGACAATAAAATTGAAGAACTTTGAACTATGTATAAACAGAAGGAGTAGCAATGGGATCACCAATATCCCCTATAGTAGCAGATATATTTATGGATAGTTGGGAAGATATGGCTTTACGAATATATAATCCGACACCTAAAATATGGTGGCGATATATAGATGACACATTTACAGTGTTGAAATCGGAACATATCGACAGTTTCTTGACACACATAAACTCAGTAGTTAACGCAATCCAATTCACTTACGAAGTAGAAAATGAACAAGGAGAATTATCTATGTTGGACTGCAGAATAAAACGAAGGATAGATGGTGGTTTAGATACTACCGTCTACAGAAAACCAACACATTCTAACAGATATCTAGACTTTAAGTCATCTCATCCAGTGTCAGTTAAAGTGGGTTTAGTCAAATGTCTAAATAACGGAGCTGAGAAACTCACTAGTCATTGTAAGGACTTGAAAAAGGAATTGAAACACATAAATAAGCTTTACTAATTAACAATTATCCCCATCATTTTATTAAGAAATTCATACGGACACATAAGAAGCAAAATAATAACACTAATACAAATACAAATAATAGCGGCAACATAAGTAAAAAGGAAATCAACACCTCTATTGTGATATCATACAAGGAAGGAACATCAGAAACCATATGTAGGATTCTCAACAAGGTTGGAATTAGGGTGGCATTTAAACCAACAAACTCACTTAGAGGTAAGCTTTGTCGGCTAAAAGATCCGATAGAACCAATTAGGCAAAATAATATAATCTACCAAATTCCATGTAATGACTGTGAAGTCAAATACATAGGTCAAACTCGCCGATCGGGGTCAGTTAGATTAACAAAACATAGGAATTTAGCTAAACATAGAACGGAAGACCCCAATAAGATCAATAATCTAGAAAAACACTCAACCATTGCATCACATTCATTAACACACAACCACACAATAGGGTGGGACAAAACCACTGTACTTAAGTCTAATATAGCTAGGTAGAGAGAGAGATTAATTACTGAATCTTTGTTCGTCGAATCCACACCCAACACATGTAATAGGAATGACGCAACACCTATGGAAAACTTTACTACCAATCGAAAAACAAAGAGATCAGGTGACAGGACTATAAAATCAGATATCGAAAGAAGTGTGATTACATTGATATGATTATGAGCAGTAATAATTTATGCTCGAAACGTTATCAAGTAAATAATACTGTATCACTGTGTAATATTTATAAAATAAACAAATCTAATATGGAATTACATTCTGCCACAGTGCTCAAGTTTTTCACTTATATGTACAAACTTTTCAAGTATGTTACGTTAACCATTATGAGATTCATTGGATAACAGTCAGTGGAATTTGCTTACTTCCTCATAACTTAATTAGGAATATTATTATTCCCCATAGAAATTTACTTTGTAGTTTACTAAATTTAATTTGGTGAAATTGTTATTGTCGATGTCTGTTTAAAGACCTCTATTCTTTTTAGATTTTTCGGCTTCCAGCGAACATCGAAGGACTTCAAACAGACATCTTCTCTTCAAATCAACAGAGCAAGTAAATTTATTTTCTTTGTAACTTCAGTTTGAAATGTGGATGATTCGCCACAGTCATGGAGATTCGCTGTGATCTAACTGATGGTAGAAGTGTAAGCTATGATCATTGGAAAAACAAAACAGCGATTATAAGGATGATAACCATCTTCTCAATGACTCTTTTTCGAAGCTCTATAATCATAAGCAAAAAATCAAAGCATAGAATGTTCCATTAGTCTGTCTAGCTAATTATTCAAGTCTTTAGATGTGAGGACGCTTAAGTCTAGCAAAGGATTCTGCGAATATTAGGCAGCATTTCAGGAGTCTTGAAAACTTCATAGTCTGTCAACCGCAAAAGTAATGAAAGATAAAGCATGAGTAAAAATTTGTAGTAGGAAACAGCACAAGTCAACACGAAATATGGCCAGTCATTTTCTTTGTCTTGACCTTATAATCATCACTTAATAATGTTCATGCTGACTTGCTATATAGTTTTTCAGAAATATATCTAACTATTATACAGTATTTCTTATATTTTATTTTTCATTATCTTTGAGATTGGCAAATTCAAGTTATCCAGACTCTTTGTATACTGCCTGTCAGTCCCATAATAGATTGCTAGATTCCAGTATGTTCACTTGACTTGACTGAACATATCTCTGTAACAAGTTATTGAAAAGATGGTTACCTTCTCTACAACTACCGGTTTGCTTTCTTAATCACATTTGCTATTTTAAGGTGGACAGTAGTCAGTGTGCATTAACTTGAAAACTGAGAGTCAGAAAATGAATGATAGAGTAGTCAGCTATAAGAATACTGACATGAAGACACTATAAGTCGAAGATTCCTCGCCTAGATCATGTTTTATGAGCCATAAACTTATTCAGAACTTACCTGCAATGGTCCATCAAATGAAGTTCAGACATCTCATAAACAGCGTAATCCATATCGCGATAGCGGTGAATTAATATTATTTCAGTTGAATACATTTTTCTCTCTTAACTTAATTTTCATTTATCTGGACAGTAGGCTAGATCTTACCTCTGGTTTGAATGCCTTACTACATTTTTGGGAAAAAAACTGTAAAATTGTGTAAAGAATAGCTGCAAATGTTATATAGTCAATCATAAATACCCGTCACTTACATAGCAACTCAGATGAAGATCCAACTTGATATACATAACCATGACGATTCTGTATCATTTGCTTCACCTTTTTACCCATAGACAACTAAAATGATGAAAATAAATATACCTAACATATACTAACTCTAGATTATTCATCTTTATGCTAAACATTCACAACACAAAAGTGTTTTGCATAGACATTGACGAACACACATATAATTCATAAGGTTCAACAGGATTACTACCTTACACATGAATCATTACAAGATATTAAAAGGACAAGCAAGTATTTCAATGTATTTCTTTAACACTGAAACGAAGAGTAACTTGTATGTTGTTCACACCTATTTAAGAATGGAACGAGTTACTGAACGTAGCAAAATCACGACACACAACTTCAAACAGTATGAATTTCTAGATAATATTCCGCTGAACTTCATGACTGCGGTCGAAAAGACTGGACTCAACTGCATCATGCAACAAACTAAGAACAGCGACAACATACGCATACGCTGACTACACACATGAAAATACACCAGAAGAATAAATGGATTTCACCGATGATCATTTCTGTCTAATGTGTTGTCACACAAACTCGGAGATCGACAGGCGAAGACCAACAACTTGGCAGAAGGGGTGAGGTGAGATGAGGCGGGGCGAGGCGAGGTGAGGTGAGGCGAGACAGCAAAGGAAGATGGGACTTCCTTCAAATGAATGTAGACAAGACAAACGTGATGACGATACCAAATCAACCAACCACAACCACAACCACCACCACCACCAACAACAACAACAACAAACACCAATCAACATCGATGAGGGGAATCTGAAACAAGTTGTCTCTTTCACCCACCACCTAGACAAGACATCATTATCATAGTCTCAAATACAGGTGATGGCGGTGGCGGTGACGGCGGCGACAGCACAGATGAGGATGTCAAAACCAACATCGGAAAGACAACATGACACGCCTTCATCAATCTGAAATAATCAGTGTGGAGATCTACTCCACTCCACTCCACTCCACTCCACTCCACTCCACTCAGCATGAAGCGTGAATAACATCCCGATTTTCAACACCAATGTCAGTCAAGTCATTGCTTCTATACTGTATGGTTGGTGGAGTTGGAGTGTTGCGAAAAGCATTTGTAACAAACTACAGACATACATCATGAACAGCTTCCATCTACACTGACTGGATAGTGAAGATGGAGAAGAGATGACCAGAATAATAAGAATAAGCAAGGAGGAAGTTTTGCCGGCCGGCTGGCTGTCTGGCTGTCTGGCTGGTTGGCAGGTTACCAATCAACAACCTATCTATCACCCAACGAATATCCAGTAGAAGGAGGTGGAGATGGAATAGACTGGATTGGATTGTACATCCACTGAGAAGATGGTTTGGGGACATCACGTAGCATGTCAGGTCAAGTCGTTGAGTGGATGCTGAATAGGAAACGACGATTTGGGTTTGGGAGAGTGATATGGAGGTGATGGTGTAAGGAAGAAATGGAAGCTTGTGGGTATTTGTGTAGCGAGGTTAGTAATGTTGTAGAGAAGAGTGTGAAATGTCGACGTCCCACTGAAGCCCTTTGTTCCTCTTGGAACCATGGGACAAATAATATTACTAAATAATACTTATGTCATAAAAGTGCATGGATGTTTAAAAATATTCTCACTGGTTATTTTTTTTGTATCCTACTGTAATGAGTACTGTTATCCTACTGGCTATCGTTTAAATAATACTAAGTCTATACTGTTATAACCATATTACTGTAAATAAATCCGGTTTTTATTATATGACTGAGTTTGTTGAAACTGTTTGGTAGTACTGCTTATGAACGGTTAGCCTGTAATTTAAGGATACTTAGGAATATATGTACGACAATCACAATTATTTTCCTTCATGCCTTATTTATTTTGAATTACTGATCTTACTAAATCGAACGTTCGAATATCCATCAATAATTTGATCTCCAAGACAGCACTCATCATTTCTTATCATTCAAGTACATCACAGATTCTAAAAAAATAATACAGCAGAGAAATTTCTGATCTTTCATTCTCTCTGTGGATGTACAGCATATCATCGTCAACCTGTTTTAAGGATAAATAATTCCCCTCAGGGATTGATTAACTTCCCCTTATGGTGATCCATTACCACACGACAACCTCAGTGTTTTTACAGTTTCATGTGTTTATAAGAATATTCTAATCAGTTTGTTATATAATGTTTAAACTAAGTGATAGAACTTTACAGTGTAATAGAATGAGAAAATCATTCAAAACTTGAGAACTCTGTCAGTTACCTTTAGGATGCTGATTTTATGTATGCCATTAAACTTTTGAATAAGATTTATCTGGAGTTTTGGCCTTTAGACTTTAAAGAAATTTTTTTCAAAAAGAATTGAAAGTATGAATAGTAACTCACCAGTTTTTGATAATGAGGTGGATAACTGTATCTTGAAAAACCGAAAGGAGTTAAAATATACTGACCAAATGAATGTAAACTAAGATATAAAATGATGTTTTTATGCAATGAGTTTAATTTTCCAATGATACTTTGAGTTTCAAGTTCTGAGGCAGCTTCACTTCCTCTATATGTATCACTGCATGAATGTGGTGATGCACCATTTCCAACTTTGTTTATGAAATAGGAGTTAAAAAAAAAACACAATAAAGAACACAAATTAATTATGATGTGACATAACTTTTCAAGTCGATTATTTTTGGTTGTATTGTATTCTCTAAACTGGATTGTTTAATCGTGAAGCTTTCATCGTCTTTCTGGACGACATCATCAAAACCAACTTCACGATGAAGTAAGCTATAAATATCTCTCCGTTAGTGATTTAGTAGCTTGACTTAACCAAATGGTTTGTGATTGGTTGTTACCTTTAATTGTTGTGTCATTGACTGTCTAGACTTTCCTCTTGGCTGTTTCTATGCTTTACCTCTCACCCTTCTGTCGTTTATGTTTCTTTCACATCATTTGATAGATTGGGTCTACGTCTTTACATCTGTTGATTGCTGACTGACTGATCTGAATGGTGCCAAGCTTTTAGAAATTCTCTGACATTCTTTGTGTTTCCTCTCTCCATCCAAGATTTCTACATTGGCAAAATTCATTTCATGTCCATAGTTGTGATGCACGTGCATTGAAATGAGTGAGGAAATGTCTTGTGTGACGTTTAATAGCCAGTTGGTGTTCATGTAGACAAGGGTGAAGAGGGAGACCATTTTGTCCAATATAGTGTTGACTACAGTTAGCTATTGCAGTTGATTTTGTAAATGATATTCGGTTTGTCTTCTTTGGTTGTTGCATCCTTTGGTCTGCATAATAGTGTTTGGAGGGAATTTGTTGGTTTGTGGGCCACACCTACTCCACTAGGTGGTCTCAGTAATCTTGTCATAATTTCTGATACATTCGTTATTTATGGTAGGACGATGCGTTTGTTGATTTCTGTCGATGACTTTGTAGTTGGTGATGCACGGGATAGGCATCTTGTGATAAAGTTTCGTGGGTAGTCATTCTTGTTCAGAATGGATATCGAGTAATTTTCTTCGTTTCTCCGTGAAGTTTTGGTAGTGCAGCGTGTTCTCACTCTTTTGAATCGAGTCTGCATGCAACTGATTTTGTGAGTTGCTGGGTTTTTGCTATTGTAGTTTAGGATTTGATCAGCGTGTGTTGGCTTCATGTACACTTGAGTTTCTGGCTTTCCGACATTTGTCCTACTGACTAAAGCACCCAGGAATGGTAGTTTGTTGTTTGACTCCTTCTCCATTGTGAATTTGATGTCGTTGGAAACGTTTTTGAGCAAACTGTGAATGTTTTCTATATCATCTCTTTTAATGATAACCAAAGTATCGTCCCCATAGCGTATCCAAATTTTTGGTTTAACCACTATAAAAGCCTCATGATTAAACAACTTAGCTCACAGAACACAACACAACCAACACCATCCACCTGAGCTATAAATATTCTCAATTGATCTACGTCTATTGTTTATTTAATGAGTGTGAAAAAAGAAATTGTTTTCGAAACAGTAAGATTTGATTACTTTCATCATGCGAACCATTCTATAAGCGATATAAAACACTTATTCATTGTTTAACTCAAATTTTTCAAACGGTTTTTATTTAGTATAAGAAAAAGCCAATTTATGAAATAAAAGTGAATCCACCTGACTTCATGGCGTCTAGCCAGCTACTGACGGTGAATTCTGTAGGAACCAAAGAATTATTTCTGATAGGAAGATCATATAAAGCAAACGGACCAAAGTAAATAAAATATTTCGGTATAATTTCAGAATAATTTTCCTTGACAATCAAATAACACCAAGAGGCCCTTTCAATGAATCAGCTGATCAACTGGTTTATTTGTAGTATTGAGGCAAATATTTGTTTTTCCCTGTTTAAGCATCGATATATACTTCTCTGTTTCAGACTAATTATTGTCATCTTACGTTATAAAGCCTGGAAGAAATCAATGAATCATTTTAATCGTAGATTATTGAGCTGATTATGTAATTCCGATGTGATTTTATCTCTTGCCAAGCATCTTCTTTATCTTCCGAGGTTCATTATATAAACTATTCTAAAGAAAATAGCTTGACAGGACAAATATTTCAGATAAAGAGTACATTTTATTACCACACCGATGTAAAAAAGAGTAACATATCTCACTTATGGCCGAGGCAGAACAGACTACAGGTAAGAGAGACAGAGACCTGACAACATTTTATCAAACAACCAGGCTACTATCTGGGAGGGAAGTGATCAACACAGATGAAAACAATGAAAGCTAGTAAAAGAAACTTAATTACCAAGGACGAGAAACAAAGAAAACAATGGTCTGACCACATCAATAAACTCTTGAATCAATAGCAACTGCCACCACCCGCAACTCGTCCAGAATTACCACCAGCAGCCCAGCCACAGAATCACCAGTGAACACAAGCCCTCCGCTCCGACAAAAGCATAAGTAAGGTCATAAACGCCATAACGTTTCTGAAACCTGGCACAGCAGCAGGACCAGATGTAATTCCTCTAGCAGCCATGAAAACAGACGCAGAGACAACAGCGGACATGCTCATACCACTATTGAAGAAGGTCTCGAAGGAAGGAAGCGTACCTGCTGATTGACTGAAAGAAGGACTACCTTGTCAAACTCCCAAAGAAAGGTGGGTGACCTAAGTCTTTGCAAAACGTGACACGGAATCATGCTGCTGTCCACTCCAAGTGTTCAAAATATTATGCCGCATCATCCTGGAGAGACTAAACAATGCGCTGGATTCAAAATGTTGACCAGAACAGGCTGGCTGGCTAAGGGAAAAACAATTCGTGTTCGAACCAAATCGCAACTACATCGACGTTGAAAAGGCCTTCGACGGTGCTAACATAGAAGTAAGTTGGCAGGCAGCTGCCTTAACACTTCGGTCTATGTGCCACAAACAATTATCAACCTCATTCAAAAGCGACACGATGATGCTACCTACCAGGTGATCCACAATGGAAAGCTCAGTGATACCTTCGAAGTGGACATAGGAGAAAGACAAGGTTGCCGTCTACTATCACCAATGATCTTCCTGATTGTCATCGACCAGACTGCACTCAACTGCATCATGCAACAAACTAAGAACAACGACAACATACGCATACACTGACTACACACATGAAAATACACCAGAAGAACAAATGGATTTCACCGATGATCATTTCTGTCTAATGTGTTGTCACACAAACTCGAAGATCGACAGTCGAAAACCAACAAGTTGGCAGAAGGGGTGAGGTGAGGTGAGATGAAGTGAGGTGAGGTGAGGTGAGGTGAGGTGAGGTGAGATGAGGAGAGGCGAGGCGAGGTGAGGCGAGACAGTGAAGGAAGATGAGACTTCCTTCACATGAATGTAGACAAGACACACGTGATGACGATACCAAATCAACCAACCACAACCACCAACACCAACACCACCACCACCAACAACAACAACAAACACCAATCAAAATCAATGAGGGGAATCTGAAACAAGTTGTCTCTTTCACCCACCACCTAGGCAAGACATCATCGTCATCATCTCAAATACAGGTGGTGGCGGTGGCGGTGGCGGCGGCAGCACAGATGAGGATGTCAAAACCAACATCGGAAGGACAACATGACACGCCTTCATCAATCTGAAATAATCAGTGTGGAGATCTACTCCACTCCACTCCACTCAGCATGAAGCGTGAATAACATCCCGATTTTCAACACCAATATCAGTCAAGTCATTGCTTCTATACTGTATGGTTGATGGGGTTGGAGTGTTGTGAAAAGCATTTGTAACAAACTACAGACATACATGATGAACAGCTGCCACCTACACTGACTGGATAGTGAAGATGGAGAAGAGATGACTAGAATAATAAGAATAAGCAAGTAGGAAGTTTTGCCTGTTGGCTGTCTGTCTGGCTGGCTATTTGGCAGCTTACGAACCAACAACCTATCTATCACTCAACAAATATGCAGTAGAAGGAGGTGGAGATGGAATAGACTGGATTGGATTGTACATCCACTGAGAAGACGGTTTGGGGACATCACGTAGCATGTCAGGTCAAGTCGTTGAGTGGATGCTGAATGGGAAACGACGATTTGGGTGTGGGAGAGTGATATGGAGGTGATGGTGTAAGGGAGAAATGGAAGCTTGTGGGCAGTGGTGCAGCGAGGTTAGTAATGTTGTAGAGAAGAGTGTGAAATGTCGACGTCCTACTGAAGCCCTGTTTTGCACTGGGAACCCAAGGGAAAATCTAAATAATTATATGCCATTAGTTTACTTGTTGGTAATTATATATTTGACTTTTCGATTTATTTTTTCACTCATTTTCATTGTAAGAATGTCATAATGCCGTTCCCCTAATGTGATTTTTTACGATTGCTGCACATTTCTATAAATGCACAAATCTCAGCCTTATGAGACAGATTCCCAAATAACCTATTGGTTAATCCTAGGTTTAAAAGAAATATTGATCATTGATAGCAATACTGTACAATAAAACGTACCACCCCATTTGAAAGGGAAATTTCTATTCAAATCTGTTCCAATGCATACTTCACCTTCTGTAAGTGCTCGATTTTTTCTCCAAAGTCGAAACTGAAATAAAAGTAAAGTGGTGAATAATTATTTAGTTTTGTATAGTAATGATGGGCAGTGGCTATCAGTGGAATCCAGGGTGCGCATTTCAACCTATTTAGGACTCTTCAGCTAGATGAACCTGCCTCCCAGTGAGTGATGTTGTTACCAAGAAGTGGCTATCTTGGCTCGATGGTGTAGTGGATCGTGCGCTGGCGTTTGAAGCGGTCCCAGTGGGAACAACATGACACTGGGAGACAGGTACACCCAGCTGACGAGTCGGAAATCGAACGAAATGCGCATCCTGGACTCCACTGATAGCCACTGCCCATCATTACTACATATAATTAAAACACAGGCAATATCGAGGCATCCGCACAGGAACCCATATGCCAACAAAGACTTATCAATTCAGTCCAATCAACGACGGTGTCATACAAGCAATATCACTATAATTATTTAGTTCATTTATATTCTTAATAAAATACACTGCCTAATTTCTATGCCTGTATAAATCTTATTGAAGTGGGTGTAAAGAAGTCTTTACTTTGAGAAAATGGAAGACTTTCGACGAACACAATGAGGAATGATGAAAATCTATAGGTGCTAAAGCCTGAAGTTATTCTTCTTGTTCTGTTTTCTTAGGTAGAATATCTCGACTTCATAAAAGAGATTGATATCTCAATATTTCATAACTTATGCTATCACTCATATTGTATTTATCAGGGATGTTAAGGTTTCTTGCATTTCTACTCAAAAAGTTGAAATAATATAAATTTGTATTCCAATAAACAATCAGTCAAAAAAATTGTCTATAGCATATTATTATTATTATTAGTCGCTTGGGTTCCTAATGGAACACAGGGCTCCAGTAGCAAGTCTCCATTCTACTCTGTTCTCTGAAATCTTTTCAACCTGGTTCCACGACAGCCCAAAAACTCTCATTTCCTCCTCCCACGATCTCCTCCATGTCACTCTCACCTCGAGCACCCAACTCGTCGCTTCCCATGGGGATTCCACTCAAGCAACTGGCCTGACGCGTGATTTTCCCCAGTCACCCTTCTCGGTGTATGCCCAATCCATCTCCACTTCCTTCTACCTCAGATTTGTTCAACGATAGCTTCTTGGTTGGTTCGTTCCCACAGCTCCTTGTTGCTTATTCTGGTTATTCTGGCAATCCATCTGATCTTCAGTAGCCAGCCAGTGTGGGCAGTTGTTGATGATGCGTGTCTGTAGTTTATTGGAAATCCCTTTCGTAACGCACTGCCAAGTCCCTCAACCATCACACAGAAGCACAGACTTGACTGGGTTGGTGTTGAAAATCCGGATGTTGTTCACGCTTAATGCTGAGTGTAGTGCAGAAGATCTCCACACTGGTTTCAGGCTAATGAACGCCTGTCTTGCCGCGTTTCCGATCCTGGTTGCATTGACATCCTCGTCTGTGCCGCCTGTAGTTGAAACAGTGCTGCCTGCCTGCCTAGATAGGTGAAGGAGGTTACTTCCTTTAAGTTTCTTCCGTTGATGGTGACTGGAGTTTGTTGTTCTTGTTGTTGTTGAAGTTGGAGTTGAAGTTGTTGGTGCGGTATCTTCATCACCTCTGTCTTCTCTGTATTCACCTGAAGTCCCGTCTTCCTTCGCTGCCTCACCTCTTCTGCCAATTTGTTAGTTTTCGCCTGTAGATCTTCAAGTCTGTGTGACATCAGGCACAAGTCATCGTTGGCGAAATCCAAATCTTCTAGGTTCTTTTCCGCAGTCCAGCTAGCGTATCCCCCTCTTCTCACAGCTCCCCACTGTTTGCTGCATGATCCAGTCCAGTTGACCACAATCAGGAATATCATGGGGGATAGTAGGCAACCTTGCTTCACTCCTGTATTCACTTCAAAAGCATCACTGAGCTTTCCATTGTGAAATACTTGGCTGGCATGTGGCATCTTCATATAGTTGTTGAATGAGGCTGATAAAGGTTTGTGGTATTATTCCGTATTATTGAAGCAGTTTCCAAATTACCTCTCGGTCGACGCTGTCAAAGGCCTTCTCAAAGTCGATGAAGTTGAGGTAGAGTTGAGTTGACTGCCATTCTATACTCTGTTCTATGATGATGCGAAGCGTGGCGTTGCAATTTGGTACGCATATGATTTGTACTTCCTGAAGCCTGCCTGTTTCGGCCGTAGTTTTGAATCCAGTGCATCCTTAAGCCTCTTAAGGATGATGCGGCTTGTCTCTTGCATAACTCATGTCTAACTGACTGAATTCATATTCTTATGTATTTAGTTGTTTCAGGCATAGTTAGGAGACTTGCTTTAATCTTTGGCTACCCAAAAAAGGTTTTTACCGCGAATATATGTTTTATCAAAATTCTTACCTTCCTATTTGTTTTAATCTTCTAAATATGTCATGTACTCTCATATTTTTTTAAAAAATGTTTTCAAACTGTCATTCCTCAAGCGAAGAATGAAACAATCATAAGACGCTATGCTGAATGAAAATGGACTTGTTAATAGTAGAAAATATATGACATTATTCTTAGGATACATATAGTGAATTGTAGACTTTTATGTTAGCTGACTGAACTACCAGAACTATGAGTACACTCAATTTTCTACTCATTATCAAGTCTAGACCATATGGTAATGTAACACCACCTAACCGTTTCGGATTAATGCTTTTATTACCGTTATTATTATCATTACTACTTAAAAGTCCTTTATAAGGAGCGTGTTTGTATATATCATACCTGCTAAAAGCTCCATTATGTATCGCACATGTTGTTTGAAAGAAAGCGATTATTGTTATTATTCTTGAGTATATTGTTCTGCTCATGTAAAAAGGTTTATATCATGAAAAATAATTTTATCTATGCTTTTCTGTATAGTTAGAAGACAAAGTTTGAAGCGAATACGTATTTACAGTTTATAAATTATTTAGCATACTCTTCATTTGATATCAACATGGTTAAATTCATTCGAGTATATGGATTAGAAGATAACAATAAAGGTGATAATAACAGCTGAATCTTGAAAAGTTTATATATTCTTAGCAGTCAATCCTTGTAGGTGTATATGTGTGTGTGCAGCAATAGAGAGAAGTAAAATTATTGTCGCATAACGATTAGGTAATAAAATGTGTTTTTGAGATGAATGGGGATTTTTAATTTAAATGTAGTATTCATCATGGACTGACATCTATAGTGCTCATTATTAGTGACTTGCTTCCAGATGGATGTCAAGAAGTTCTAATGAGAAGCGGTGACCTGTGGGGTCAGCCGATAGGAAGTGAAGTGGATGCTAACTGAACACCTTGGGTGACAGTCGCGCTGTGTCGTGAATTGACAGAAGTTGGAGATTGTGAACCAATGGAAACCGACCCAGTGGCTGAATGGTTAATGTGTTCGCCGTGAAACCTGAAGGTCCTGAGTTCTGCCCCTAGCCGAGTCGTGGGTGCGTACTCCTGAGGAGTCTCACACTGGGACGAAACAGCTGTCCAGTGCTCCCAGATTTTCAATGGTTCCCCAACTGATGTCAGTCCATGATGAGTACCACTTTTAAATTAAAAATCCCCATTCATCTCAAAAACACATTTTATTACCTAATCGTTATGCGACAATAATTTTACTTCTCTCTGTTGCTGCACACACACACACACACAGTTCATTCATACACCTACAAGGATTGACTACTGAGAATAAATAAACTTTTCGAGATTCTGTTTTGTTATCGTCACCTTTTCTGTGTAATAGAAAATTTGGTCAAACTTTAATAAAATCCTGAAATTCATACATTTTGAGGATTATTTATGAAACTTTCACCTGAATGGTCGCATTTTAGTGTTGCTAGAGCATTTGGATTTCGCCGATGACTTGTGTCTAATGTCACACAAACTTGATGATTTACATAATCCAACAAGTTGACAGAGGAGACAAGGCTTAGAAAACCGGACTTCAAGTGAATGTAGAGAAGACAGAGGTGATGAAGATACCCAACCAACAACAAGCTGCAATCACCATCAGCGGGAGAAACTTAAAGGAAGTAGTCTCTTCCACCTACCCTCCAAGCCACCATCGTTTCAACTACAGGTGGCGGCACAGGCACAGACGAGAACGTCAAAACCAGTCAGCATCGGAAAAGCAAGACAGGCGTTGATTAACCTGAGACCAGTGTGGATATCTTTTGCACTGCACTCAGCATAAAGCGTCAACAACATTCGGATTTTCAACACTAACGTCAAGTCAGTGCTGCTATATGACGCTTTAGAGACTTGGCGCGTTGCGAAAAACATTTCCAACAAACTACAGACATTCACTAACAGCTGCCTACGCTGGCTGGTTACTGAAGCTCAGATGGCCTGTATGGTAAGAATAAGCAACAGGGAACTCTTGGTGGCTGGCAACAAACCAACTAAGAACCTGTCACCCAACAAATATGCAGTAGAAGGAAGTGGAGATGGATTGAATTGGGCATACACCGAGAAGACCATTCGGGGACATCACAAGCCAGGTCAGTCCCTCGAGTGGAACCCAAATAGGAAACAGCGAGTTTGGCGTCTCAGCTGGGGGTGACATGGAGAAGATCTTGTGGGAAAGAAATGCGAGCTTGTGGGTTGTCGTGTTGCCAGGTTCAAAATATTGCAGAGAACGTGCTACTGAAGCCCTATGTTCCATTAGGAACACAAGGGACGAACAATAATAATAATAATCGACAATTTTCCCTCTGAAAGCAAACTACAAAACTTCAGCTACCTCAAGTAGTCTCGACCAAAATGATTATCAAAGTTATATTCATCACTATCTGACGTTATTTGAAGAACCACTATAAAGCCTATGAGCACTGGAGAACTGTTTTTTTATAGTGTGAAAGTATTCAGCACTGCGAACCAAGAACCTACAGCTCTCGTCACAGAAGTGGGAAACCATGGACTGTTGAATTCTAACCCACAAAAACTGTAGGTTATGTGTTCGATCCCTGGGAATCTTGTATGCACACTCTTGAGGAGTCCCATACTAATAAGAAGTAGCTGTTCAGTGATATCAGGTTTTCAATGGTTCTCGAAACAGTATCAGTCCGGGATGAATGCTACCCTGAAATAATTAGATAAATCTCTACAAACTTGAAACTAAACCACCAATGTATCACTCCACGTTTGTAATAAGCTTGATTTCCATTGAGAAAAGTAAACCCGATTGTGCAGTCACTCTGATTATTATAAAAAACATTTACATATTATACAAACACGTAACACCTGGTCAAGACCACTAATGATGCAAGTCAAGTTGAAACCTAAATAGTGACTAGTTCTCCTAGCTTGGCTGATAGAGAGCCGGGCAAATAGTTTGAAGGCTGTTAGTTCGTATCCGCTGGCTACTCACTTATTCACTTCACCTCCAATCATCATCCTATGTCAATAAACGTTTAAACCCAACCAGTCAATTGATATTTAAATAACGTCATACAGGACAGAGTTTTTTATTCATAAAGTCAACCACGAATTTCCAAATTTTCAAATACTAGTCAGTTTCATTTTGCATGACAATGGATTAGGCTTTAAAAAACAGTTTTGTAGAAACAAATGGATAAATCAGATATAGACTGTATTTGTGTAAGTCACAATGAGTTTGTCATCACCAAGCGAAACAGTCTAGATGAAGTCTTCTGTCATATAAGTAATATGTGTGTAAGTATTACTTTCACCAAAGAAGTTGAATTCAACATGTCAAAATTAAACTTTATGGACTGCATAGTGGAAAGACAGGATTACAACAAACTGAAGATTAAGATTTTTAGATAAACAACACATTCTGACAGACACCTCGATTATTAGTGTGGACATCCTGTGACTACAAAGATAACTGTTGCACGGAATCTAATCAACAGGCCTAACTGTCTTGTTACAACGAAAGACGTAGAGTTGAAGTCAGTTTGCCCTACATTAGAAACAAACAGTTATCGTTAAGAGTATTCAAAAACATGAAATTTATGATATACCGAAACTCTTTTGAAGAACTGGATAAGCACTGTCATATTCCATACCGTAGGCAGATTTTAGAAGAAATAAGAAAGATTCTCAAAAAACACGACATAAAAGTTTACTTTCGAACAACAAATACCCTACGTTCTAACTTAATGAAAGTCACAAATGTAGTACCTAAAGAAAATCAACAGAATTGCGTCTATGAAATCAGATGCGGAGATTGTACTGAAGTTTATGTAGGGGAAACAGCCAGGTAGGTAAATATTAGAGTCAAGGGGCATAAACTATGCTTTAAGCAGATCCGCAATCGCGATACACTCCATAGAAATGGGACACAAAACGGACTCTGACAGAACTAACGTTCTACAAAAAGGTTTTAGGTCATCCCAAGAAAGACTGACAGCCGAAGTCCTACTTATATGGACGAATTTAGACAATTTGAAGAGACGAGATGAAGTATACTTAGCTGTCCTTTTGCAGTTATTAATTAGTAAGCAGAAAGAGTTCCTACCGTCATCATCAGCAAGAACACTATCTGGACTAATGTGATTCATTATTACCATCATAGTTCTCATAATCACCATCGAAACCACCACCACCGTTTTAGAGGCAGAAAACAAACACGACGGAGAGGACAATCGTCGCCAACCATTGGAACCGTAGTCATTACATATAGTACACCTTGCAGTAAATCCGTTATTTGCAAAATTTGCTGCGTTTCCTTTTCTATTTCTGTCTTGATATACTCTTCATACATTTTTATCAGCAGCATTCACTGTAATATGTCTGCGTTATCCCTTGCGTTGCTCTTAGCAGAATCCTTACCCATTGCTGGTAATTCCCTGTTATTACTACCACCCTCTCAACATATACTACTTACATCAATTCTCATCAGCAAAGACCACTACACATGCATGCATACCCATTTCATTCATCCCATTGTACTTATAAAATTACCGAATGAGTACAATATCACATATGCCAATTATTTGATTTCCAACTCACTATGACTTACAGTAATACAATCTATACTTAATGTCATTCTTTTACTCAGTGCCCAATATTTGCCACACTATCCGAAAAAATGGTTACGCCTCAACTTTTGGTGAACTATTATTTGTGGGTAGCAGGTAGAGAATAAGTGATGAGGGTTTTAAGTAACCACTTTTGTTTCAATTTTTTGAACTGACAACTCATTACGCGATAGTGTTCAAGGTTATTAAACTGTTTTGAAATTGACTAGGTGTTTAGTAAATCCAGATTTTGTCGTTACGTATAGTATCACTAATTAACCAAGAAGCTAACATTCTAACTCACTGGCTGAATGCTAACGTGTTTTCTGCAAGATATAATGGGACGGTAATTGATCGCTATTGATGTCATTGGTGAACACTTTTACGGCCTATTAGACAAGGATATTTCAGCTCTTAAATGTAACTTGATTTTAAACAATCTTCCAGCCAAGACTAGAGTGTATAATAAGAATCAAATCAGTACAAATTTATTTTAATTTATTATTTGTCCCCTGGGTTCCTAGAGGAACAGAGAGCTTCACTAGCACGTCTCCATTTTATCCTATTCCCTTCAGTCTTGCTTACCCCGCTCCACCACTACCCACAAGCTTCCATTTCTTCCTCACACCATCACCTCCATATCATTCCCCGACACCCAAATCGTCGTTTCCCATTCAGCATCCACTCAACGACTTGACCTGACATGCTACGTGATGTCCCCAAACCGTATTCTCAGTGGATGTACAATCCAATCCAGTCTATTCCATCTCCACCTCCTTCTACTGCATATTTGTTGAGTGATAGATAGGTTGTTGGTTGGTAAGCTGCCAAACAGCCAGCCAGACAGCCAGCCAGCCAGCCAGCCAGCTAGACAGCCAGACAGCCAACAGGCAAAACTTCCTACTTGCTTATTCTTATTATTCTAGTCATCTCTTCTCCATCTTCACTATCCAGTCAGTGTAGGTGGCAGCTGTTCATCATGTATGTCTGTAGTTTGTTACAAATGCTTTTCGCAACACTCCAACCCCATCAACCATACAGTATAGAAGCAATGACTTGACTGATATTGGTGTTGAAAATCGGGATGTTATTCACGCTTCATGCTGAGTGGAGTGGAGTGGAGTAGATCTCCACACTGATTATTTCAGATTGATGAAGGCGTGTCATGTTGTCTTTCCGATGTTGGTTTTGACATCCTCATCTGTGCTGCCGCCGACGTCACCGCCACCGCCACCACCTGTATTTGAGACGATGATAATGATGTCTTGCCTAGGTGGTGGGTGAAAGAGACAACTTGTTTCAGATTCCCCTCATTGATTTTGATTGGTGTTTGTTGTTTTTGTTGTTGGTGTTGGTGATGGTGGTTGTGGTTGGTTGATTTGGTATCGTCAGCACGTGTGTCTTGTCTACATTCATGTGAAGGAAGTCCCATCTTCCTTCACTGTCTCGCCTCACCTCGCCCCGCCTCACCTCACCTCACCTCACCTCACCTCACCTCACCTCACCCCTTCTGCCAACTTGTTGGTTATCGCCTGTCGGTCTTCGAGTTTATGTGACAACACATTAGACATAAATGATCATCGGTGAAATCCATTTGTTCTTCTGGTGTATTTTCATGTGTGTAGTCAGTGTATGCGTATGTTGCATGATACAGTTGAGTGCAGTCTGGTCGCTGACAATCAGGAAGATCATTGGTGATAGTAGACGGCAACCTTGTCTTAACAATATCTATAAAGAATGAATAGTAATAGTATATGCTATTTGAGTTCTGTGTGTGGATCTATAAATTAACTATGCTTCTTGAAAGAAGACTATAAATAGCGTTTAGAAGAACACTGTTTGGAAGGTCGTGGTATGTTTGCATGGTAAGTGGGAGATTGACCCTAAGTGGACCACGAGTGACACGAAGATTAAAATATATTTGTTTTGGATATATCAGTCTAACTGTATCTTGTTAAGTCCTATGGCTGTCACTGCAAAACAACAATTGTAGCAATCGGATTGTTAATACATAACTTGTTATCTTAAAGAAATATTAAGATGTTCTTTGTTCTTTCGAAAAGAGGTATATAGGTTGACTAAGCATTTTCCAGCCCTGTCCACAATCGTACCATTTCTTGTGTTTATTAACTGTAGGTTAAAGCCGTATTTAAAAATGAAAAACAAAACAAATGAGATCATTGAAAGTTGTCACAATCAAGTAAAACTTAATTCAATTTACCTTTGTGCGTGTATATTCATAACCATCTGGATTTACAACTGGAACAATGTAAAAGCGGAATTTTTTTAAAATTGTATGTCCTGATGGTCTCATCAGCTATAAAATAATTTAGAGTAAATTTTTAGTTATTTATATAGGAATTTAGCTTATGCAATGAGTTATAACATTTACTTTCATGTAAGAACATATATTAAATAATTAATTAATTAGTCCTTGGGTTCCTAGTGGAACATAGGGCTTCAGTAGCATGTCTCCGGTGACGTCTGTCCTCTGAGATCTTTTGAACCTAGTTCCACGACAGACCAGAAGCTCTCATTTCCTCCTCGCACGATCTCCTCCATATCACCCTCGGACGTCCAACTCGTCGCTTCCCATGGGGATTCCACTCGAGTGCCTGGTCTGGCGTGTGATGTCCCCAGTCGGCCTTCTTAGTGTATGCCCAATCCATCTCCACTTCCTCCTGTATATTTGTTGCGTGAACGAACATATATGATGATCGATTATTTTCTAATTGACTCTGTGCAAAGGCATTGTAACTTTTCAAAGAAGACCTATAGTCAACTGAAAATCTTTTATAAAAAGCAACAATCTGAACGAAGAATATGATATTCAGCAAACTCCCATAAGATTCTAAAATTATAAAATGCATTTGTACAGTGTAAAAATAAGCCTTCAAGAGAATGCACAGAAGACGGAAGCTATAAAGATCCCCAACCAACAACAACAACAAACACTAATCACCATCAATGGGAGAAACCAAAAGGAAGTATTCTCTTTCACCCAACCTCCTAGGCAGCACCGTTTCAACTACAGCAGGCAAAGATGAGAATGTCAAAACCAGGATCAGTTAGACAGCATGACAGGTCTTCATTAATCCGAAATCAGTGAGGAGATCTACTGCACTGGACTGGACTCAGCATAAAGCCTGGACAACATCCGGTTTTTGAACACCAACCTCAAGTCAGTGCTTCTTTGTGATGGTTGACAGACTTGAAGTGTTACGAAAAGCACTTCCAACAAACCACATACACGCATCAACAGCTGCCGCCTACGCTCGCTCGATACTGACACTGAAGATCAGATGGCCAGAAAGAATAAGCAAGGAGGAACTCTGGCTAGCTGGCAACGAACCAACCAACAGCCTATCACCCTCCAAATATGCAGTAGACGAAAGTGGAGATGGGTTGGGCATGCACTGAGAAGACCAATTGAGGACACCACGTGCCAGTCCAGGTCCTCGAGTGGAATTTAAAGGGGAACGACGAGTTGGGCATCCCAGCTGAGAATGACATGGAGAAGATGGTGTGAGGAAGAAATGAAAGCTTGTGGGCAGTGGTGGAGCCAGTTTGAAAAGACCGAAAGGGAAGAGAGTACAATGGAGACGTGTTACTGAAGCCGTATGTTCCACTGGGAACCCAAGGGATAAGTAAACGATAAATAATGGTGCAGTTACACCTTCAGAATGGAGTGAGATCTAGAGATTGTAAACAAATCGATTAATCATTTTAAATCAGTCAGTATTGGGGTGATACATATACGGAAGAATGATGATGATGATGGTGAACAAGAAGATGACGAATAAGATGGTAGGAATAGCCTTCCGTTTTGCTGAAAACTGAGGGAGTAGTATTGCTTGGACATGATCTTTCTGAATACATAGTCAAGGGCTGAGTTATTCTTATTGCGATAGCCTCCGCTATATTGAGCAGTCATTGGCGAGCCAAATGTGCTGTTACTTTTGGGACAGAATGAATGACACTGAAAGCCTTATTAACATCTATATGATGCCTTGTGTCAACTGGATGCGCTAGGACCGAACTTTTCATCATGTTCACTTCGCGCTTTTCGAACCAAGCTGATAAATGCTGTTGTATCCGAAGACACACCTGTTCTATGTAACTAGTTCCACAGGAACAGTTAAATTGATATATGCAAGATGAAGAGCCGAGATTAGGTAGACTATCCTTTAGTCTGGAATTGAGCATTGGCCGACTACTGAATGATATGCAAAGCTGATCTGCATAAAATGTCCAAATGAATGATCTAGTTACGCCTTGTAATAAAATGTCACTGGCAACATTTCCCTTGAATTGTAAGTAAAGAAACAAAGCTACTTCTCCAATGTCATCATTTCTCATCTATGAACAATGTAGTTGATGTTAGTTTTGATGAACTTGTCCAGATATCCATTTTCACTTAGAATATCATGGATATTATGGCGTTCTTTAATGTACTCCTTCTGTTTTTATTCTCCATTAATATCTCTTCACAGATAAATTTGTGATCAAGTTGTTCAAAATACATTTACATAAGCACATCATATTTTTCTGATAAAAACTAAATCTTCTAGCTACATTATGCAAAGAAATAGTAGTTTTCATTCTTTTCATAATACTTTAATCCTATATGTTGTGTCACATTCCTATTCTCCTTTAAACAATAATTAAGTGTAATACTACATATGAGACAGAAAAGTTTAACTGGTCACTGTCATTCCATCTTCTCTCTCTCTCAATAGGATTGAAATTCCTTCTTAATATGCTTTAAAAAAAAAGGTGGTTTCAATAAATTTGGATAGCTGACAGTCACTGTAAGAAGTAAGACAATTTAAGCTTCCTTTTATACAGTGATTATGCAATGGTTATGTATGAATTACTTGAGGCTGTTTCGCTAATACAATGGTTAAAGTATGTATCGCTTGGTTACTTGATTATTGATGTATTCATTCAATGATTTCATGATATCAGTAAGACACAGTTTGGAGAATGTTATTTCCAATCAGATGGTCAGAAAGAATATGCAACAAGGAACTCTGGCTGGCCAACGAACCAACTAAGAAGCTATCGCTCAACAAATATACAGAAGGAAGTGGAGATCGATTGGGCATACACTGAGAAGGCCGACTGCGGACATCACGCGTCAGGCCAGGCACTCTAGTGGAACTCCGATGGGAAGCGAAGAGTTGGACGTCCCTGTTGAGGGTGACATGGAGGAGATCGTGCGAGGAAGAAATTTGAGCTTCTGAGCTGTCGTGGAACCAGGTTCAAAAGATCTCAGAGAACAGAGTTCACTGGAGATGAGCTACTGAAGCCTTATGTTCCATTAGGAACCCAAAGAACAAATAATGATAATAGTAATAATAATAGTAACAAATTGATTAGTTAGAAGTGATTTAATGAATCAGGAATTCACACTTTAGGCGCCCTAAAGTACGACACCTGACGATGCATACACAATATGTTGTCTAGTTTCAATAAATGTTCATTACATAACTGCTTTGTACTATCTCTAAAATTATTCACTAGGGCCTTATCACTGTGACCACACTTATTGTCATTATATTGTATACATTACAGGTTACCTAATAGATACTTCAAAATCATTGTATAATGTTTAATTTTCAGATTAGTATTCGAAAAAAAATCTTTGATTTCCATTGAAAACAATATATCAAGTAGATAAATCTTCTGTAGAAAAACATAAAACCTTCTATTAAATAATATGCTTATTTTAAAATTCTGTTACTTGTGAAGTTCGAAGGTTTTATTCTTGTTGAGAAGATTCTCATCAATAATGTAAAACATTTGCTTATTCAATAGAAGTAAATAATGTTAAAAAAAACTATCTTTGTAATCAACCTTCTTTGAGTTATTGGCTTGTGAAGGTTAACTGATTTCACTATGAACTGACATTAGAAACCTACGTAAAATCAACTGTTAGATGGGTAACAGCTCACCAATATGATCTAATGACCTTGAACTGAATTGCTTAGGTAACCCAGGATTCAGACTGTTGAAAAGCTTTATATTAGAATGAGACAAATATGAAAACTTTCTAAATAAAAGTTTTTCATTTTAATTCCAATCAATCTCCGGTGATTGATTTTCAGTCATTTGGTTTATCTGTTTTCTCTCACTTTATTGAGTAGATAAGTTTTATCATGTTCCCTCGTATTATATTACAATAATTAAACATAATTACTTAGTTGTAAAATATTTAACTCTTTTCAATAATAGATAAGAATTATTTACAAACTCTACTATTTCCAAAATAACATTGAGGATTACCTTATTTATTATGCTAAGTGCTGTAGCTGGTGCAATCCATTCTCTTGCATGAATACCAGCATCAATCCAGATTATTGGTCTTGATGAATCCAAGGAAATCTTTGAAGAAAAAAATATTTACTCAAGATTATTCGTTTAAATATTTTTGCATTTAATTAGTATATACTAAAGTCTTTTCTAGTTGAAATGTTATTCAACAAAATGCTTAAACTGCTGGACATTTCCAAGCCAGGACGAAATCAATAATATTCTAATGATTATACTCGTGTTTTTTCGATGACTTTTCGCTGAAATACTTCTTCTTCTTCTTCTGAAGTGTCTTGATGGATATCCTTTTCCATACACTTATTTCGTTCATTTGAATAGCACATTAGGAACAATATTTTGATTGAAGGAAAAGATAAGAGGTGGTTATAGCGAAGAAAAGGCTTTCTTTTCGATGCTATCATTTATTAAGCTGTACATTCGTGAATATATGTTACAGTGGGTAGAATGTTCCAGAATTATTTCCTGTTATAAAGGACTAAATATAGTGAATAACTGAAGGAAGTTAAATAATACACATTTGGGTTTACAGTGGGAAAAGAGAAAAGGGATTGTGAAATGATAGTGTAATTATACAATACAGGATGAATACAAGAAATGAGCGAAGGGTTCTGAGAATAAAACTTTAATGACATAATGCAGGTTAAATCTTGAATTGAAAAATGATATTGATGCAGACATCCTCAGGAAACGACTATCAAAATCCCTAAATGAGAAATACTTCACTTCTACTGCAAGAAACATTTTGGTCAGTGTATGAAAGACAAGTCGACGCATTGGGTACATCAGTGTGTATATACCAGTTTACTTGCTTTTGTGGAGCTGATTACATTGGCCTAACTATTCGTCCGCTTGTAAAACATGCCTACGAACACTACCCAGCCTGGCTTGCAAAGGGAGAACGGAAATACATCTTCAGTTTGATAACAGAACACCTCATGAACTCAGGTCACTTAGCTTTTCTTGAGAGCTTGTTCAAAATCCTCTATATCATTAGATCAAACCACTCGAAGGGAGTAAGATCAAGGCGTTTGTCTATAGCTGAAGCACTAGCCCTCCAGTAGTTCAAACCAGCTTCATGCGTCCAAAAAAGTACATCCAACCTTTATCTTTGTTATGACCATCATAAACCATTGACTGTCATAGATTTCATAATCACTTGTTTATTTTCCCACTCTAAACCTAAATGTGTATTAATTATTTTCTTTCAGTTATTCACTATATTTTATCCCTTAACCTGAAAAGCATTGGGACGTCCTGCTAAGTGTAACATATATTCATGAATGCGCAGTTTAGCAAATGACTTCGTCAGAAAGAAAGGTTTCTCTTCTCTGCAACTACCTCTTATCTTTTTCTATGACCAAAAAGGTGTATTCCGCTGAACAAAACTTCCCGTTAAAAATCGTATTCTCCTATATACTTTTGATGTAATTGCAGACTATTCATAGTCAATCGGTGAAACGATTATAACTAACATAGTTCAGAGTCCGCAATCCTTAATCCTTTAAAGAGCAATAAGAAATCTGAAGTGTATGAGGCTAGAATAAAATAGTTAAACATTTGACAGCTAGTTATGTAGTCAAAAGGATAATTCTGGAGTGATTACAGTGATAATCAATCATAAAGATAAGACGAAGATAGTCGTGAGCAAAAGAACAAAATAGCCAAAAAGTGTAATTGAGCAAGAATCATTATTAAGACTGAAGACAGAAGAAGGTTTCCAGTTTCTCATCAAAGTTATTATGTACTAATTACTAATAGAAAGACGAAGCTTTGACGTTTGAAGTGAGATAGGTTATGCCAACCGAAGCATATTATAGTTTAACTGTTTGATAATGATTTTGAAGGCGCTTTCGGTAACAGCTTCATCTACCATGAGCAGTTAAACTGGTAATACTGTTCCTTTATTTAAAGTAATGGTTTGTTGGAAGGTGTTTAAGGAAACGAGTAGCCATTTATCATTCTATATTCGTAATGTTTTTACATTAACAAGTACGAGGGAATCGGTTAATGCAGTTACAGGAAATATGAAGCGGATATTTATCTAGTTTCTTTCGAACTACTGAACACTTTACGCAATACACTGGGAATAGATTCGCCATAGCGAATTTATTATTGATGAAATTCTGAGGTTAACTTATCTCCTTCCAATAACAACGGGATAACCTAAGTGTCTGTTGCTTATTGGAAACGTAACTTTCACATTGATGAATAGATATTTCCAGATAACCATTTTCCTACAGATGTTAACTGATCAAAGTAACTAGTTACTTTATCTTTTTTTGTTCAGTCTATGTTCTCAGCCCTGGCCAATCCTTTTAGAAGCTTATCAAGCAAATGCTACAAAATTTGAGGAGTTGTTTACTCCAGACTTTTTTGTGATCAACTTATCTCTTACATGTTTCATGATCTTATTCACCAAATCAAAAGTGATAATTAATGTACTTCAAACCAGTTATAGCACGTAACAAGTATTTCGGTTCCATTTATAATAACATAATAATTGAGTGAATTACGTTCATAAAAATAAAGCGGATGTTCAAATGTACAGGTCGTGTAAACCACGTGCACCATGTAGACTTGCAAGTCGTTGTTCATAAATGTACATTTGAATCTTTGACTGGAAATAGGAAACATTTTATTCTGCAGCTAGTGCTTATAATATGAAAATGAAGTATTTTAAAATCATACAGTTAAAAGCTTTAAATTGCTTAAATATTTTACGTTCAAACTTTACAGAAACTACTATTATTTGTTTCAGTAGTATGATAGTCATCATCTGTTAATTGTGCTATTATTTAGCTATCGCGATCTCATATGCAATAAAACTCACTGTGGAATAAAGGGGAACAGCTGTTTTAAAACACTTATATTTTAACTGGTAATTTTGTAGGTAGGACTATTTGTTTTCTCAAAAAGAGATAGTACATAAGTTTAGAGTAGTGATAGGTGATCTACACGTGAAGGTAGAATTGTGTTTTTGAATGCAACACAGATTTTATCATTCACATGCTGCAAACGAAGGACCACGACTCAGATAACACACTTTCAAATATGTGAGCACTTGAAATATGAAATGAACACTACACTGATTGGGTAACCAACTTCATGGTGAATAGTCCTCAGGATACAAATGGTAGCTAGAGTAGCTGAGTGATAAGGTCTTTGGCAAAAAAACTGTGGCATAAGTTAGAATCTCGAATTGGACATCGGTTCTGTTGAGGTTGCAGACAACTCCTGCTGACAAGTGTCAAAAAGGAAGAAACTTAGGTGTCCAGGGCATCTTGCCGGTTGCCTCCATCCAACTAACATCCACCGAGGTGGAACCTATAATAAGCGGATAATCGCTTGTGCACATTGCTATAAATTCCTCTTATTCAAAAAAGTAACATGTAGACGGTTCAGAAAATTCTTTCCAACAACCTGTTAATTGCTTCTAATCTTTGTGAATACCACCGATCGTCTTCATTCATCAAAGAATTCAGTTTACCATTCAATTTTCGTAGGAAAATTCCTGTCCATCATTGTGTAACTCTTAGCTATATGACAACACTACATGCCAAGTGATTCGAAATTGAAAGCTCAGTATTGCCTCCGAAGTGGAGACAGGAGTAACACAAGGTTGCCATCTACTATTGTCTTTCATCTTCATGACCGTGGTCTAGTAGACTGGACTCAACTGCATCGTGCAACAAACTAAGAACAGAGAGAACATACGCATACGCTGACTATACACATGAAAATACACCAGAAGAACAAATGGATTTCACCGATGATCATTTATGTCTAATGTGTTGTCACACAAACTAGAAGATCTACAGGCAAAAATTAACCACTTGTCAGAACACGTAGAGTAGCGAAGGAAGACGAGACTTCCTTCACGTGTACGTAGAAAAGACACAGATGATGAAGATACTAAACCAACCAACAACAGCAACTAACACCGACCACCATCAGCAGGACATATCTGAAGCAAGTTGTCTCTTTCACTTGGCAACTAGGCAAGACAGCATCGTTTCAACTACAGGCGGCGGCGCAGATGAGGATGTCGGGGCCAGGATTCGAAAGACAGCATGACAGGTGTTCACCAGTCTGAAATGATCAGTGTGGGGATCTACTCCACTGCACTGCACTGCACTCCACTACACTCCACTGCACTCCACTACACTCCACTACACTACACTACATGATACTACACTGCACTGTACCACACTCCACTCCACTCCACTCCACTCCACTCAGCATGAAGCGTGAATAACATCCCGATTTTCAACACCAATGTCAGTCAAGTCATTGCTTCTATACTGTATGGTTGATGGAGTTGGAGTGTTGTGAAAAGCATTTGTAACAAACTACAGACATACATCATGAACAGCTGCCACCTACACTGACTGGATAGTGAAGATGGAGAAGAGATGACCAGAATAATAAGAATAAGCAAGGAGGAAATTTTGCCGGCCGGCTGACTGGCTGTCTGGCTGTCTGGCTGGCTGTTTGGCAGCTTACCAACCAACAACCTATCTACCACCCAACAAATGTGCATTAGAAGTAGGTGGAGATGGAATCGACTGGATTGGATTGTACATCCACTGAGAAGACCGATTTGGGACATTACGTGTTTAGCCAGACCAGGTTAGGTCATTGAGTGGAAACCGAATGGAAAATGATGAGTTGTGTGTCCGCTGGTGACATGGAGGTGATGGTGTGAGGAAGAAATAAAAGCTTGTGGGCAGTGATGGAGCGAGGTTAGCAAGACTAGAGAAAAGTGAGTGAAATGGGGACGTCCTACTGAAACTGTTTATGTTCCACTGGGAACCCAATTAACAAATAAATAATAATAATCGTGTAACTCTTTGAGCTACATCATTGCATTGAGTAATGGAAATACAACTTTATTTAAACAAAGAAAATTTTACAGGATAATTTAGGGGGATAGGAGGTAGAAAGGATTAGTTTGTGAACAGCAGTTCTTTTAAAACATATAACTGGATACCATAGAAAACCAGCATTCATGTAAGCATCGAAGGAACTTCATTTCTTGACAACAATATCGATGATGACGATATCGGGAAATCTAATGATAAAAAATCCATCATAATTTACCAACAGTTCAAACACAACTATCGTCCTCATTCTGAGCTTAGAATCTTCTCCATCACATCAATAAGTCCATCAAAATGCATTAAACTATCCTTCATTAATAAAAAGCATATTACATTCTACTTCTACGAAACACTGGCAAGTGAAGCAGAACAGGCTGCAGCTAAGGGGGACCTGACAACATTGTAACAAATAACCAGGTTACTCTATCTAGGAAGATATCAACACACATGAAACCAATAGAAGATGATGAAGGAAATATAATTACCAAAGAAGAGAAACAGAGGAAACAATAGGCTGATTACTTCGAAAAGCTCTTGAATCGACCACCATCACCACCTGCACTTCATCCAGAATTACCACCTGCCGCCTAGCCACAGAACTACAAGTGAACAGAAATCCCCCAACAAAATTCGAAGTCCTGAGGGCCACGCCATAAAGCTACTGAAATGCTGGAAGGCAGCAGGACAAGATGGAATTGTGCCAGAAGCACTGAGAACAGAGGTAGAGACAACAGTGAACATGCTCACACCATTGTTGCAGCAGGTCAGGAAGGAAGGAAAGGTACCTGCTGATTGATCAGAAGAAGGGCTATCTTGTCAAACTCCCGAAGAGGGGTGGGCGACCTAAGTGTTTGCGAAAACTGGTGCGGAATCACGCTCCTGTCCACCCCAGGCAAGCAAAACATTCAGCCACATCATCCTGGAGAGACTGATGGGTGCACTGCGTTCAAAACCACGACCGGAACAGGCTAGCTGGCTGGATTCAGTAGGCGCAAATCATATGCGGACCGAATTGCGACCCTTCGCATCATCATAGAACAGAGTATAGAATGGCAGTCAACCCTCTGCCTCAACTTCGTCGACTTTGAAAAGTCCTTTGATAGCGTTGACCGACAAGTAATTTGGAAACTGCTTCAACACTATGGAACACCACAAACCTTTATCAATCTCATTCAACAACTATATGAATACGACACATGCCAAGTAATTCACAAAGAAAAGCTAAGTGATGCCTTTGAAGTGTAGACAGGCAGGAGTAAAACAAAGTTTTCTACTATCACCCATGATATTCCTGACTATAGTGGACTGGGCCATGCAACAAACAGTGAGGGGGGAGAAGCGGGGGATACGCTGGATCGATGAAAAGAGCCTAGAAGATTTGGATTTATCCGATAACTTGTGTCTAATGACGCACAAACCTGAAGATCTACAGGTGAAGACTAACAAGTTGACAGAAGAGGTGAGGTAAAGCAGCGAAGACGGGACTTCATTCAGGTGAACGTAGAGAAGACAGAGGTGATAAAGATACACAACCAACGCTACCAACAAAACCAAAAACAAGCTGCAATCACCATCAGTGGGAGAAACTGAAAGGAACTAGCCTCCTTCACCTATCTGGGCAGCACTGTTTCAACTACAGGTGGAACATGCACAGACAAGGACATCAAAACCAGTCAGCATCGGAAAAGCAAGACAAGCGTTGATTAACCTGAAACCAGTGTGGAGATCTGCTGCACTGCACTGCACTCAGCATAAAGCCTGAACTACATCCGGATTTTTAACACCAACATCAAGTCAATGCTCCTATATGGTTCAGAAACTTGGCGCGGCACGAAAAGTATTTCCAACAAACTACAGACACGCATCATCAACAACTGCCCACTCTGGCTCATTACTGAATATCAAATGGCAAGAATAGTAAGAATAAGCAACAAGGAACTCTTATCTGTTAACGAATCAACCAAGAATCTATCACCCAACAAATATGCAGTAGAAGGAAGTGAAGATGGATTGGATTGGATTGGATTAGTCATACACTGAGAAGGCTGATTGATGACATCACGCGACAGGCCAGGCACTCGAGTGGAAAGCAGATGAGAAGCGATGAGTTTGGCGTCTGTGGCGAGGATGACATAGAGGAGATGGTGTGAGGAATAAATGAGAGTTTGTGGGCTGTCGTGGAGCGAGGTTGGAAAGATTGTCGAGAAGAGAGTGGAATGGCGACGTGCAGGCGAAGCCGTATATTCCATTAAGAACCCAAGGGACAAATAATAATAATAATACGTTTTCAAGATATAGGATTTAGTGTGTGACTTTGTTCGATCTTTAAAAGTGACAGGAAAATATTTCTGTGCTGTTAAATAATGAAGCGAATTAGAAACATTATTAACCACTTTTCAATCAACATGGATTCATGTTTATTTCAAAAATCCTGGATTTAAAAAAATTAACTTAATCTATAAAAACATTATTTTATACAGCGCAAATGTCGACAGAATAAAATTAACCGTATAAAACTTACCATAACTCCCATTATTTGTCTACCTTCAGCTGTAAATCCTAAATTTTCAACTGTAACATATGAACGCAACTGACTTAGATTTTCCAGATATTGAGTGATCTAATTAACAATTTAGAAAATGTTATAAGTTTTGAAAAACATGAAGTTTTTATCTTTTAAACTTACACCTACAAATGAATTTTCAAAAAAAATTGTTGGCAAAGTAATCCTTAGTTTATTTCTTTATTTTATTTTATACTACTATTAATGGTGACAATTAAGTAGTCTTTGATTTCAAAAGTAATTTAACAGTCATCCTATATAGAAAAGCGACTGTTAATGTAGGGGTGAAACTTATGCGCTGAGGTCAGCTGTTATTTGATTTTAGTTTATTTATTATCTACATCAGACAATGAAGGAGTTTTGTTTACTGGATAATGTTTTGAATAGAAACTAATGTGCATATTCCCAAAAAGGTGGTTTCAAAACTGTCTCAAATATGTTAATGATGGATGTTGGCTAGCAGTGGAATCTAGGATGCTCATCTTGTCCTGTTTGGAACTCGTCAGCTGGATGTACCTGCCTCCCAGTGGGTGTTGTTCCCACCGGGATTTTAGACTCGGGAGTGATCGCTTCAAACGCCAGTGCGTTATCCACTACACCGCTGAGCCACGATAGCCACTTCTTGTGCGACGTGTATAATTTTAGTATAATTGTTGATTGGACCAAATTAATCGGTCGCTATCGAGATATGGGCTCCTGTACTGATGCTTCGATATTGCCTGCGATCTAATTATGTTAATGATGGATCGTGGCCAGCTGAAGAGTCCCAAATAGGACGAAATGCGCATCCTGGATTCCACTGCTAGCCACGATCCATCATTAACATAATTAGGTCGCAGGCAATATCGGGGCATCAGTACACGAGCCCATATGTCGTTAGAGACCAATCAATTCGGTTCAATCAACGACGGTATGATGTAAAAACAATTATACTCTCTCAAATATGGTTAAAATAGTTACAATTCTCTGTCCTCCTTTGTTCAATACAATTTTCCACATGCCTGAAACAGGTGCTAGATCATATTTTTTTTCGTGTATTTGGTGTTGATTCGGTAAATAAAGAATCGTGTAATCAGTCGCTCCTCCTATTCTGTTACGTAAGTTTTTAAGACTCTCATCGCGTTACATCTTACTGAATCGTTGTTTTTTCATGTCATGCATAACTATAGCTTAGTTTTTTTAGACATATTGTTCTGCTAGGAGCTACCATTCTTGATATAGCTGAGGTTTTGTGCTTGGGCAGAGTAACTGAGCCTAGTTAACAACTGCAACCTATAAGCTTGACCTCACAGTCAATCCAAGGGAATAATCAAATTGAATTATCCCACCCAGTTTGATCAGTAAGATATCTTAGACCATAAAAGCTTATTTCTAAGAGAACTTGTAGGCCTGAATGCCACTGTTATCCTAAATTTATTGAATATTCACTGTAACATTTCTGAGATGACTCCCTTGTGTGGTGACAAAGCGGAAGTCTAATATTCCCAAAATACCTAAAAAATAAAAAACAACATTATGTGACATCGTAAAACTACTCAAAAACAGCTACCCCTTATAGATCACACCCATTGGATGAAATTAAGAAAGTAGTCAATAAATACAATATCAAAGCACCTAAGTTCATTCGAAAGACAAGATCCCTCTAGATTCGCAATCTAATTGTGTTTTTATTAACGGAATGCTCAGATTGCGATATAATAAACATCGGATAAACTTCTCGTGAAATCAAAATTCGATGAGTTTTTACTCGACCCCCCAGAAATCCAGTAGAACTGTAAAAACTTGAAAACACATCAGCCACAGCTCTACCATGCTATAATTACAGGTCACAAGATCAACTCATTGACGACAATATCGAAATTTTTGTGAAAGGCTTTAGTAATTATGAGTAACGCCTCATAACATAATCTTTTCACATAAGGTGGAGTCAAAACTGTCTAAATAGGAAGAAATGAGGAAGTAAGATGTAGTCTGACCTGGTATCAACCAACCTTCACATATTGACATAGTCAACATACATACGATTAAAACTATCAACATGTATGAACAAACAAATCTCAAACTTTAACACATACATACACACAAAACACCACATGTGAATATTATCTTTATTCTACGATTCCGACAACGCAGAATCATTCATGTGGAAGAACACTTGTCAAGTTTGTTATATATCATCTTGGAGGATATTTTAAATTTCGGTTTACTATGACTTTAATTAAGCTGTCGGTTCTAAATAGCGAAACACCAGTTGAAAAAAACATATTTTGTTTTATATTCTCATTGAGAAATAGATATATCATAATGATGAATATTTTTAAGTGAATTCGTAGACCTGAATGCCAATCGAATCTTAAATTTATTGAATATCCTCTGTAACACTTTAGAGGTGACTTTTTAGTATGGTGATACAGTTGAAGGTCTAATATTCCCCCATCGCAGTGTTATAATAATAATTATAATATATTTCCATCCATTTACTAAGAGTTTTCAGAAGGTTTAATGCCAATAAAGATCACCTATGGAATAAAACGATGTCCTACTGATCTGGGAACGCCATTTTGATCACGTAGCTCAAGTTTGTCGAGGGAATAATTTACAAAGGGATATAGTCAGCAACCTCCTTTTTGCGTTTTCAATGGTATTTTGAGGGAGTGGCTCAATGGTAACGCGCTGGCTGCAGAATCTGAATGTCTCGGGTTCGATCCCTGGAGTGCAGGGTCGCGGGTGCGCACTGCTGATGAGTCCCATACTAGGACGAACCAGCTGTCCAGTGCTCCCAGGTTCCCTTTGTTCCTTCAACTGATATCAGTCTATGATGAATGAAAACTTGAAATATTTCCAAATCTCCACAACTCCCTCAAAATTCAATTGAACTGGTGCTCATTAGTGGCTAGCTTCGAGAAGTATTCCCGAAGTTCCAATGAGAAGTCGTGACCGGTGGAGTCAAAGCTTGAAAGTCATGAGGAGAGTTACTCAACAATGACATATGCAAACAGAAGTTGGAAATGTGGAGCATGGGATTCTGACCCAGTGGCTCAATGGCAACGCGCTGGCCGCAGAACCTGACGGTCGCGAGTTCGATCCCTGGAGTGCGGGGTTGTGGGTGTGCACTGCTCAGAAGTCACACATTAGGAAGAAACAGTTGTCCAATGCTCCTAGGTTTCCTTTGTTCCTCTAACTGATGTCAGTCTACGATGAATAACAACTTGAAATGTTTTGAATGGTGTTACATTTATTATTAATTTCAACCTTTTAGTACAAATAATTTTTCATATAACTCTGTGATTGTATTGACACTGATATCTAGGCTGGCTTTGTTCTTTCAATAGTTTTCCCTCTAACCCCCTATACTTCACTTCACAATTCAGTGATGGTATAATAATTACCTTTTACTGATGAAAGTTTTCATTAGCGTTTGGATTTATGAAACTTGAAGTAATATTGCTCATAATTTGTTGCTAGTGGTTATCAATATGATCAGAATGCACTTATCATCCTATCTGAGACTCGTCAAGTGAATGTATTTGGATCCCTAGGTGGTTTTGTTCTTCTTTGAGACTCAAACTTCACTGATATCCATTGCTTCAAACTCTGCAACGAATATAGCCTGTCATTAATTAGTATTCGTATTACTTTATCTTAATTCCACTCAGTTTACAGTATGACATTTATTTGAGTTCAACATTATCTCACAAGTTGAATTGTTAACAGAATACGATAGCAGAAACCTTGTTTCATATATTACAATTCCTACTTTATTCATTCTAAACTTTATTGAAGAGGGAGAATGTTATGAGATGAGACTTAACAACATTTTACCTTGCAACTGGTCAAATTTATTCACTTTGAGGAAATATTTACTTCACAACTATATTACAAGCTAAATAGTGAAACAGTGGAGAATATTTGTAGCCCAGGTGGATAGTGTTGATTGTATTGTATTCTATGAGCTAAGTTGTTTAATTGTGAAGATTTCATCGTCTTTCTAGACGATGATGATGTCGTCTTCACAATTCAACAACCCAGCTGAGAGAACACAATATAATCAAGATAGCCAAAAGTTCCCTGGAATCCAATTAAAGAGCTTCTTCAGATTTCTACTCTACACATCACTAGTAAACAAATCTTTCTTTTAAAATAGAGTTTCAGTTTTGTTGTGTTCACCTTCTGTCTTTGACAGAGACACTAACTAGAAACTGTCACTAATCTATCGCTTAACAATAATCTTTACTTGGTCAAATTGAATACATCATCCTTCGAAAATTATAAGGTATGCTGTAAACTTTAAGTAACTTTGAAGAAGTAGTTCAGTACATTCAGTCATAGGTAAACAAATTTTAAGAAGTGTTATACAGGCTGTAAATGATAAAGTTTAGTAGAATATATTCTGATTATTCATATTATTCAATTACCTCATTATAAGTTTTATAATATGGTTTTGATCGTCCACTTCGCATGAAATTGGAAATTTTTCTGACATGGTTTTCACGTTTCTCATCTAATATTGCTCTGAAAGTATAAATAAACATTTTCAAGTTCATTTTTTGCTGGTTACCAATGTTTAATTTAGATAAGGCCATTTTTGAAAGCATCTAAAATTCTAAAGGAATCTTAGATAAAATATTTATAAGATGAAAAACTATGCAAGCTAAAATCACTTTAGTTCAGATAATTTAAGTAACATCTATTTTAATCCATTAGTTACACATTCCAAAAATGATAAAGTGTAAAAACGTATCTATGTGACATTATTATCATTTATTATTTGTCCCTTGGGTTCCTAATGGAATATACGGCTTCACCTGCACGTCGCCATTCCACTCTCTTCTCGACAATCTTTCCAACCTCGCTCCACGACATCCCACAAACTCTCATTTATTCCTCACACCATCTCCTCCATGTCATCCTCGCCACAGACGCCAAACTCGTCGTTTTACATCTGCGTTTCACTCAATTGCCTGGTCTGGCGTGTGATATCCCCGAATCGTCTTCTCAGTGTATACCCAATCCAATCCAATCCATCTTCACTTCCTTCTACTGCATATTTGTTGGGTGATAGATTCTTGGTTGATTCGTTAACAGATAAGAGTTCCTTGTTGTTTATTCCTACTATTCTGGCCATCTGATATTGAGTGATGAGCCAGCGTGGGTAGTTGTTGATGATGCGTGTCTGTAGTTTGTTGGAAATACTTTTCGTAACGTGTCGAGTCTCTCAACCATATAGGAGCATTGACTTGATGTTGGTGTTAAAAATCTGGATGTAGTTCAGGCTTTATGCTGAGTGCAGTGTTGTGCAGTGCAGTAGATCTTCACATTGGTTTCACGTTAATCAACGCTTGTCTTGCTTTTCCGATGCTGACTGGTTTTGACGCCCTTGTCTGTGCCTGTACCGCCTGTAGTTGAAGCAATGGTGTCTTGGATGCTGGGTGAACGAGGCGGCTTAATTCAAGCTTCTCCCATTGATAGTGATTGGATCCTGTTGTTGGTTGTCGTCGCTTTGGTTAGGTATCTTTATCACCTCTGTCTTCTCCGCGTTCACTTGAAGTCCCGTCTTACTTCGCTGCCTCGTCTCTCCTGTCAACCTGTGTGATTTCGCCTGTAGATCTTCAAGTTTGTGCCACAAGACATTAGACTAAGCCATCGGCGAAAGCCAAATCTTCTTCTAGGATATTTCTTGCGGTTCAGCCAGTTTATCCCTCTCTTATAGCTCTTCACTGTTTGTTGCTTGGTCCAGTCCATTATAGTCAGGAATATTATGGGTTATAGTAGAAAACCTTGTTTCACTCCTATCCCCTGTCTTCACTTCAAAGGCATAGCTGGGCTTTCCATTGTTAATCACTTGGTATATGTCTTCTTCATATAGTTGTTGAATGACGCTGATAATTGTTTGTGGTACTAAAACCGTAGTGTTGAGGCAGTTGCCAAATTACTTCTCGGTCGACGCTGCTGAAGGCCTTTTCAAAGTCGGTGAAGTTGAGTTAGAGAGTTGACTGTCATTCTGTGCTCTGTTCTATGATGATGCGTAGCGTCGCGATTTGATCCGCACATGATTTGTACTTCGTGAATCCATCATTTGAAATTCATGTTCGTTGTTGAGATTAGCATTGCTTCCTTGGTTTTGTTATTAAACGAACGAAGTGAAATCAATTTCAGACGCTTTGAATAAATTCCCCGTGACAAACTGAAGTAATTCACCCAGAACAGTACATCTCTGAGAAAGCATTCTTGGGAGGACTCGTCATAAGTCTATCCCACTTTATGAGATATTTTGTAGGATGATCTATAGCCTTCTGTGTGATAATGAAATTCGGTTTAATCATTAAAATATCTTTAGTCAAGAAAAATATCTGCATTTGACAAGAGTACTCGAAAAACCAGTAGTATAATCAATCCTTACATGATTTATGATGATAAATTTATGCAACTGCATTATTGTCACTCCAGTATTTCAAATTATCCTACTGAGGATAAAGTGAATTCCATGAAGGACACTGTAAGTATCGTGCCTTCTCAGATACTTGTTATTCATTGGTTATTGTTATTTTATGTTGACATAATTATTTATGATATCCAGAGTAGAGAACCATTCAGAGATATTCAACAGTCAAAGAATAACATTATAGCGTAATAATTCAAAATATACACCAAACCTACTTTTGAAGGTTATCAATTACAATTTCATATGAAACATTTAGATTCTTCAAAAGTTCAATAAGATTTTCATAGCCATTTGGTGATAATGATATGTACATTGAATTATTTCCAGTTCTTGGCAGAGACCAGATATCATAATTTTCCTGTAATGAAATTAAATTCTTCTATGTATAAGAGATCTACTTGTAGAAAGAAATATGAAGGATTTTATTCTGTATCTAGCTGTCTTGTTTTTCCGAGATATCAATCTTTTATAAATCTTATCAGCTAATTTAGTAATATAAATGAAAACAAGAATTTCTTCATTATATTTATACATCAGGAATACTAAAAACTTTCCAAGAGTTTGTAACCAATGGACTACCGATGAAGGTATCTACACTTTAGAGCACAGCATTGATTGAAGACCATTAATCCATTAATTTAGGAGCAAAACTTAGTCACTATGGTAGATTGTAATTCCATTTTAGTCTGTTTATTAGAAATATTACATAATGAAACAGTATCATTTACTAGATAGCCATGTTTCAGACATGATTTATTGTCCATATTCATATTAGATGTCTCAGAAATCAAATTGTTCTTAAATACCTACATTTATGTGCACCGATTCTAACAGACAAGGTGAAAGTAGCTAAAAAAGGTGTCAATAAACTATGTCTTAAAGAATAAATCTACAGAATAGTCAAAAAGCTGAACAACATTAGAAATTATATGGAAAAATTTTAAAGTTAGCTGATGTTAACAGCAAGTGAAAATGATTATTAGCTCCTGTTGGACGATTGAAATAAAATAGGACCATTGATTCAGTTTTGAAGTGTGACAAATAAGCGAAGTGAGACAATACTGCATACACTATATTTTTATGTCAGATTGTGAAGGTCAGTCAAAACGAAGTCAGGTTTCGTGGTTGTCAGTATTTATCATGAAAGCGTATCTGTAGCCATGAGAAAACTGGTATTCCTTTAGTGACTCACACCTGCTTCACTCAGTAATGAAGCCTCAGAATTAACCAGTTAGCTATTCAAGCCTAAATAGGATTTATGCCCAGTTATTGAGTGCTAGAAGGTATTAAACCCAAGTTACAGGTTTCTGATCATTGGTTCTCACAATCTAACAGTTGAAACTTCACTTTCAACGTTCTGGGGACGAAAAAGAAGGTCTCAAAAGTTAGAATTTTCATTCACATACATATCTATAGTGAATAGCGAACAATTTTTATCGGGACCTTTGACTAGAGGGAACTTGTCTACTTCTATCGGTAAAAAAAGAGGTTTATAACAACATTGCAATAATATAATTTCCGTTTTCATACTACTTGAGAGCTCAGAATCTTTAAAATAAAAAAAACACAGTCATTTTGTCTGTTAAATTAGTCAGACAAACAAATCTTCACTGAATAAGTATTGTTTTTCTTTTACTCGCATACTAGAAAACAAGTTTACAACACTTTGAATATGCAAAAGCTATGCATAAGGTTACTGGTTCATAACAAATATTTGAGTAACCTACTTCAAAGCTCTAGTTTGACCAGTTTGTAAAGGAAAGAGAACTCCTTTCTTGAGTTTACTGCCTACTTTCATTTTCTAACTTAAAGATTATAAGATGCAACAATTTGAAGGAAAATTGTAGCTTCACCATGGAATTGAGCTCAACAAAATATCAGACACATAATTTTCCAAACTTGGGTTATTTATTAGTTCTGGCATGATTACGAAATACTTCTATTCTGGACAATGTATTTAAAAAAATTTCTTTTGGCAAAGGTCATGTCAGTTGAACTCAATAGGAAGTATATTAGTAATAAAACCCATTGTTTTCACCTTACTACCGATGAATGATTACAGACTTGATGTCATAGTGACTAAAATTGTGCCAGTAAATCCCAACAGATATGCAGAAGAAAGTGGAAATGGATTGGGCATACACTGAGAAGTCTGATTGGGGACATCATGCGACAGGCCAGTTGCTCGAGTGGAACCCAAAGGGGAAACAACGAGCTGAGCGTCCCAGCTGAGGGTTACATGGAGGAGATGGTGTGAGGAAGAAATGAAAGCTTGTGAGCAGTGGTAGAGCTAGGTTAACAAGACTGGAGAGAAGAGAGTGAAATGGTGACGTGCTAGTGAAGCCGTATGTTCCACTAGGAACTCAATAGACAAACAATAATAATAATAATATAATTGAGGTTTCAGCTTCACTCAAGTGAATACCAATGAACTAAACTTCTTGCTTTTTTGTAAAGATAGGCAAGATGTATAAGTAATTACCTGTAATATCACTTTTTACCTAACTTTGGTCTACTAAAGTTTGAATGATAACAATGCGGAGCGCTAAAATTTTGTACTAAAGAAGGCAATTATTTACAATCTAAGTGTTTATGGTGACTATCCTATCCAGTCTACAAAAATGTTGAACACAAAAAACTAGTTTATTCAAAAGAGATTTTCCATGTTTTCTCTTGATGAAATGTTTCTTAAAAAGTAATTCAACCAAGGAAATTTTATTATCAATGAACCACTTCCAATAGATATACGATCATATTTTCAATAAAAGCATTAACTTATACAAACTTGGGCACTGTTATAAAATTTAGTCCTGTATAAGATTCGCTTATTTGATCTATAACACACAGTGGTGATATAATATTGCTCACTGGATGACATTTCGAGCATAGATAATCACCGCTTATAATCTTATTGTCTACTATCCCTCATGATATTCCTGATTGTGGTCAACTGGACTGGATCATGCAGCAAACAGTGGGGAGCTGTGAGAAGAGGGGGATACGCTAGCTGGACTGCGGAAAAGAACCTAGAAGATTTGGATTTCGCCAACGATGACTTGTGCCTGATGTCACACAGACTTGAAGATCTACAGGCGAAAACTAACAAATTGGCAGAAGAGGTGAGGCAGCGAAGGAAGACGGGACTTCAGGTGAATACAGAGAAGACAGAGGTGATGAAGATACCGCACCAACAACTTCGACAACAACAACAACAACAACAAACTCCAGTCACCATCAACGGAAGAAACTTAAAGGCAGTAACCTCCTTCACCTATCTAGGCAGGCAGGCAGCACTGTTTCAACTACAGGCGGCACAGACGAGGATGTCAATGCAACCAGGATCGGAAACGCGGCAAGACAGGCGTTCATTAGCCTGAAACCAGTGTGGAGATCTTCTGCACTACACTCAGCATTAAGCGTGAACAACATCCGGATTTTCAACACCAACCCAGTCAAGTCTGTGCTTCTGTGTGATGGTTGAGGGACTTGGCAGTGCGTTACGAAAGGGATTTCCAATAAACTACAGACACGCATCATCAACAACTGCCCACACTGGCTGGCTACTGAAGATCAGATGGATTGCCAGAATAACCAGAATAAGCAACAAGGAGCTGTGGGAACGAACCAACCAAGAAGCTGTTGTTGAACAAATCTGAGGTAGAAGGGAGTGGAGATGGATTGGGCATACACCGAGAAGGGTGACTGGGAAAAATCACGCGTCAGGCCAGTTGCTTGAGTGGAATCCCCATGGGAAGCGACGAGTTGGGCGCTCGAGGTGAGAGTGACATGGAGGAGATCGTGGGAGGAGGAAATGAGAGTTTGTGGCTGTCGTTCAAATGATTCCGGCGAACAGAGTTCACTGGAGACGGGCTAGTGAAGCCCTATGTTCCATTCGGAAGCCGAGGGACTAATAATAATAATAATAATAATAATAATAATAAAATCTTATTAGTGTAATCACACTACTTTCTAATTCTGCTTTTTACAGTCCTGTCACTTTATATTCTTTGATCGGTAGTTAAACTTTCCAAATTTCTGGTATACGTACTGCGTCATTTCTGTTACGTGTCTTGGGTGTTAGTTGCTCCGATGAATAAAGACTCAATAATCAGTCTCTCTGTCCACCTGATTATATTGAACTTAAGTACAGTGGTTTTATCCCACTCAATTATGTCTGATTACAAAGGGGTTCACAGCCTCCATTGTGTTTCCACATAGGGAAGGTACATCAGGAACCTTACGTAAGATCCTTAACAATCCGGAAATTAGGGTGACACTTAAACCTTCGCATTCACTTGCAGATAAGCTTTGTCGTCTGACTTAGGGATCCAATTGAACCAATTAAGGAAAATGATCTAATTTATCACATCCCATGTGATGACCGTGAGGTCAAGTACATGAGTGAAACTAGCCGATCGCGGTCAGCTAGATTAACGAAATATAGGAATTCGCTAAACACAGAATGACAGACCCCAAGCAGATCAGTAATGTAGAAGGAAACTCAGTTATTTCAATGTATCCATTAACACTCAACCACACAATAGGGTGAGTGTAATATAATTAGGTTGAGAGAGAGAGAGAGATTACTGAATCTTTGTTCACTGAATCAAACAACACCCAACAGATGTCATAGGAACGACGCAACACCTATAGCAGAGATATGGGAAAATTTACTACCACTGAAAGCAAAGAATAAATGGTGACAGGACTATAAAATTCAGATGTCGGAACTGAAGTGTGACTACATTGATAGGATTATGAGAAAAAAATCTGTGCTTGAAACGGCATCAAATGAATAATCATGTATCCTACTGTGTCATAAATCAAATAAACAAATGTAACATGGCGTTATTATTATTACTGTGGAGTACAACAATAGGCTCCAGATTCTTCAAAGAAGCCTGGAAATTTCTGGTAAACCTAAACAGCCAGTCATGACATGCCAAACGTTTGTGAAAAACTACACGATATTACTTGTGGACCTTAAGTTGGCTAAACAACTTTCCAGAAAAATGTCAAAACTACCAGGGCCATAAAATAACGTACACAGACCATTACTTTTTGCAGTCGTATAACTTTACAATAAATCTTTGTCGTTTTTAACGCTTCTTTTCTGTTCTCCAGGAACCTAGCGACCATCAAGGGTGAAGCTTTAAGTAAGTGTTCAAGAGCCTACTTATATATATATATAAACACTATTATTTGTCCCTTAAGTTACTAGTGAAACATAGCGCTTCACTAGCACGTCGCCATTCCACTCTCTTCTCGACAATCTTTCAACCGGACTCCACCACTACCCACAACCTCTCATTTATTCCTCACACCATCTCCCCCATGTCACCCTCACCTCGAACGCCCAACTCGTCGCCTTCCATCTGGGATCCACTCGAGTGCCTGGTCTGGCGTGTGATGTCCCTGAATCGTCTTCTCAGTGTATGCCCAATCCCATCCAATCCAATCCATCTTCACTTCCTTCTACTGCATATTTGTTGGGTGATAGATTCTTGGTTGATTCGTTAACAGATAAGAGTTTCTTGTTGCTTATTCTTACTATTCTGGCCATCTGATATTGAGTGATGAGCCAGCGTGGGTAGTTGTTGATGATGCGTGTCTGAAGTTTGTTGGAAATGCTTTTCGTGCAGCACCATGTTTCTGAACCACATAGAGACACTGAATTTGTCCAGTATACATACAGACTTATTGTCATGGAATGCTCTAGGGAACCCCATGCAACTTTACTGTTTACGTCAATCAAGTCAGACAGCGCAATACAGCTGAAGTAATCGTAGGAATCCGCCTTCTTCTTTTACTTTGGAATTGACTTAAATTTATGGAATCTCAGACTATAAACTACCTCCATATTTTTGGTATCCATAATTTGCTTGATGTTTGCTCCATCACACAACCATTAGGCTATGGAAAGTAATTCGTCAAAACATTCCATACTCAAATATTTTTGTTAGTTTACATACCACATTGTTTATTAGTGAATGTAGATGGTCGATATCAAAGCCATTTTAAGCAGAGAACGGTGTAAGTCAAAATTACTGGACGAATTAACAAAATACCATAGGTATGATAAATTGTCTCGCTTTCTTACCATTATATTTCAAGTCAAAAGAATGTGTGCAGAATTGATTTAACTTCCTATCTCAGTGATGCCCTCTGAAGTGAAGACAGGAGTAAGACAAGAATGCCACCTACTATCATCCATGATATTCCTGATTGTGGTGGACTGGATCATGCAACAAACCGTGAGGAGAGAGAAGAGGGGCATATGCTCGACCGATGAAAAGAACCTAGAAGCATTGGACTTCACCGATGATGAATTATGCCTGATGTCGCACAAACTCGAAGATCTACAGGCGAAAACTGACCAATTGACAGAAGAGGCAACGAAAACGCGATTTCAAAAGAATGTAAAGAAGACAGAGGAGATGAAGATAACAACCAGCTAAAAAGACAACAAACACCAATCATCGTCAATAGGGAGAACCAAAAGGAAGTTGCCCCTTTCAACCACCCTCCACCCTACCATCGTTTCAACTACACGTGGCGACACAGGCATGGACGACGACGTCAAAGCCAGTCAGCATCGGAAAAGCAAGACACGCATTGATTAACCTGAAACCAATGTGGAGATCTACCGCACTGCACTGCACTGCACTGCATTGCACTCAGCATAAAGCCTGAACAACATCCAGATTTTCAACATCAATTCAGTCAAGTGAGTGCTTCTGTACGATGGTTGAGAGACTTGGCGTGTTACGAAAAGTATTTCCAACAAACTTCAGACGCGCATCACCGAAAACTGCTTACGCTCACTCGATATTGAAGCTGAGATGACCGGAATAATCAGAGTAAGCAAGGAGGAATTCTGACTGGCCTACAACGAACCAAGCAAGAAGCTATCGTTCAAAATACATGCGGTAGGAGGAAGTGGAGATGGATTGGATTGGATTGGGCATACACTGAGAAGACGATTCGGGGACATCACGTGCCAGGCCAGGTCGTCGAGTGAATCCCAGATGGAAGGCGACGAGTTGGGCGTCTGTGGATAGGGTGACATGGTGTGAGGAATAAATGAGAGGTTGTGTGTAGTGGTGGAGTGCGGTTGAAAGATTGTGGAGAAGAGAGTGGAATGGTGACGTGCTACTGAATCCCTCTGTTCCACTCGGAACCCAAGGGACAAATAATACTAATATATCTTTGATATCTGTGTATTTCACTATTGAAAATTATAGAAATTAGAATCACTCTCTGATTAGGCTTAGTATTCTTCTCAACAATTTTGTAATAGGCCACCTTACTTAAATCTATCAGTTTTGATCCACAAGGAAGTGACCATCCTATAGTACATCACTCAAAAGTACAACATTTTTATACATTTGCATTTTTCACTAACTAAACGTAACATTACTGATGGACAGTGGCTAGCAGTGGAATCCAGGATGCGCCGTTCGTCATATTTGGGATTCCACGGCTGAATGTGCTGTCCTTTTTGAGACTTGAACCCAGTACCTATCACTTCAAACACCAAATCGTTATCCACTAGGCCACCCAGCCACCGCAGCCACCTTTTGTACAACGAATATAATTTTAGTTTTATTACTTGTATTATCCTGTCTTTCACTGGACAGAATTGATGGATCTTCATTGATGAAAGTTACTTAGTTATATCAACCAGCTTTCATCAGTAAACAAGTGACGATTCTGAAGTACATCATTCAGAAGGACAGTGTTTCCATACATTTTTATTCTTCGTTAACCTAGTGTAACATTCTGTGTTATTTACTTGGCCGCTGAAATGCTTCATTTGTACTTTCTACACTGTGTATTAAGCAATTAATCTTTATAATAATGGTCTTCAAACAAATTAGTTATTCATTTATGATCAGCTGACTACCTAGTTTTCAAGTATGTTGATATTTTGGTGATTTATTTAGTTGTGGCTAGCAGAGGAGTCTAAGACTCGTGTTTCGTTCATTTCGGGACTGGTCAGCTGAATGTGCCTGCACCTCAGTGAGTGATATTGTTCCTACTGAGACTTGAACTAAATACTCATCACATCAGACACCAAAGCGTTATCCAACGGGGTACAGATACATGTAGTTGAAGAGTCTCAAATGGAACAAAACAGGCCTCTTGGATTCCCTTCCCATCCACAGTCATATTATCGTAAATATCCGAGCAATATTGAGCCATCCGCATAGGAACTCATCTATCAATAAAGGTGGATCAATTTCATCCTAGATAACAGAGTAGTACAGGTATATCAACAAATAGTAACACGTTAATATTGATTTTACATTTATGTCCTGTTAGGATGTATGCAGATGAAGAAAATACTACGATAAACATTGTATACATCTTATTCTTTGAATCTGTTCCGTCTTGTTTTATTTAAACTACTGATAAAACCAGATATATGACATTTATGTATCGTTTACTGTGTGTTTAATTTTGACTAAACACTCGACTAACTTCATTTATTGACAACTGTGTAGTTTCAATTTTGTGACCTACAGACAAAGTTATAAGAGAATTGTTTAATCACAATATTTAAGGTGTTCTATAAAACCAACTGATATAACATTTTTATATTAGAGAACGTTAGAGAACTGTTAAAAGTTGGATAGGTCTTGTTGAAACATTATGGTTCTAGGTTTGTTACAACCTAAATTTTCTGGCAACTTGAAACTATAAGCTATAACATCCAACTGTTTCCGACTCACAACCAGTAAGTATCATAACTCATTGTTCTAGCGGATAATTCTTTAATGTTTGAAGGGATGAATGGTACGTGCGAGTTTCTGTGGGAAGAATATCCGGTGACTGGAAGTAGGTTACATCAAATAGTGGAGAATATTTGTAGCTCAGGTGGATGGTTTTGGTTGTATTGTAATCTCTGAGCTGCGTTGTTTAATCGTAGATACATCAAGCTCATGACTCACAAATAGATTAAAACGCGTCCTGGACTACACTGCTAGCGGCTATGCGTCATAAGTATCACATTCGGCTAATATGTGTGATCATGCGCATCCAGAAACCATCTTATATGATTCAAATAAAATTCGTCAGAATGATTAACAACAAACACCAATCATCGTCAATAGGGAGAACCCAAAGAAAGTTGCCCCTTTCAACCACCCTCCACCCTACCATCGTTTCAACTACACGTGGCGACACAGGCATGGATGAGGACGTCAAAATCAGTCAGCATCGGAAAAGCAAGACACGCATTGATTAACCTGAAACCAATGTGGAGATCTACCGCACTGCACTGCACTGCACTGCATTGCACTCAGCATAAAGCCTGAACAACATCCAGATTTTCAACATCAATTCAGTCAAGTGAGTGCTTCTGTACGATGGTTGAGAGACTTGGCGTGTGACGAAAAGTATTTCCAACAAACTTCAGACGCGCATCATCAAAAACTGCTTACGCTCACTCGATATTGAAGCTGAGATGACCGGAATAATCAGAGTAAGCAAGGAGGAATTCTGACTGGCCTACAACGAACCAAGCAAGAAGCTATCGTTCAAAATACATGCGGTAGGAGGAAGTGGAGATGGATTGGATTGGATTGGGCATACACTGAGAAGACGATTCGGGGACATCACGTGCCAGGCCAGGTCGTCGAGTGAATCCCAGATGGAAGGCGACGAGTTGGGCGTCTGTGGATAGGGTGACATGGTGTGAGGAATAAATGAGAGGTTGTGTGTAGTGGTGGAGTGCGGTTGAAAGATTGTGGAGAAGAGAGTGGAATGGTGACGTGCTACTGAATCCCTCTGTTCTACTCGGAACCCAAGTGATAGTTGAATAAATAAATAATAATCATCGGTGTTCTATTGTTTTTATGAGAATAAAATCAATAAGTGATATCTTTGTGAAATCATAGAACTCACCGGTTCACTCATGTACAAATTGTTGATTGTATTCAAGAGATTCAGATGTGAAATTCGTATTCTCAAAACCTTAAAACTTTTAAAAGATAAATTGTGTAAATGAAAAAAGGGAAAATATATTGGAATCTTGAAAACTGATATCAAAAATCTAGATAAAAGTAAATTTTTCCAAGTTATATGAACATCATTAAGGTTTTTCACAAGAAAATGACGAAAAATAAGGGATGTTACTTATATAAACACTTTTTCCAACTGTGCACTAAATTAAATCAATTGTTTTTAGGAAATAAAGCAATAAAACAAGTAGTTGTTATGCTTTAAATGATGGAATTCACTCATTTGATCAAGGGGAAAAAAATAGACGCCTTTCAGCAAAAAAAGTAGTGTTTTTTTTTCTAAAGACTGCTGTACATGAATGAATAAACATTAAGAGGAGTGGAACATTTATTATGAGACAGAGCATTATTTGTTGAAGAAACTAGAGCAGGTTAAAGATGAATCATTTATTAGTATGAAATTACATGAAAAACTTAGTCAACCGGGTTTTCATATTACACGTTTATGCAATAGTCCAAAAGTACACAAAGAAGGTATTCCACTCTATCCAAATGTGGATATGATAAACTCCATCAATTAATTGAAAGCAATTTACATGAGTCCCTGCTTCCCCTGGGTTTCGTGTAGCTTCACTCTCGAGGGGACTGATGTAGCCTCTGAGATTTAAACCCGATTCAGCCAGTGTTGCATTCAGTGGCGTTACCATTGAGCTATTTGGGTCACTACTGACCTTCTGTAAGACTGGATTACATATATTGAATAATCACTGGAGAATAACCAACTTCATATTGTCTAGGCTTAAGTTATCCCAGCCAAATAACACTCATCAGTTCACAATTAGTTGTTTTCTGAACTTGAATTTCAGTTGGTAAGCATTCCAGAATCCTACATGACATTTTTATTGCTGTATCACAGCTTCAGTAACGAGTGAAGTACTTGTTTGTAGGTTAGGTTTTATAGAGCGCTACATTGTCTGAGTCTATTCCGATTTATTGTTTCGTGAGTGTGCGGTCATATCTGAAAACTGAGTGGTTGAATTCTTGGTGATATTTTTCCCAGAAGGGTGTCAAGCTGTATGATTGGCCGACATTTTTTGTTTACTTTCAATACGTTAAAGAGGTCTCATTATGATGGATTGGTATTTTTTGAATGTACTGGTTAACTGTTCACATCACGCAGTTTGACACCCCGCTGATAATGGCCATATGTCAAACACTCAAGTTCAGGATAGGCTAACAAACTTACAAAGCGATGAATCAGGTTACACTCAAACAATCTTGTACAACCAATTACTTCGCATTTCTGTGAAGCTGAGATGCAATGATGATGTTATCTGATACGATGCCAGGACGTTTACTACCTAAGAGCTCATCTCAAAGGACAAATCACACTTAAAAGGACCATTCACCACACTGAAAATATGACTGATTGATCCTGCGCACCGCTGCGACAAATTAACAAAGACTTTTTAGTCTGTTACCACATTAGTTATTTGGACATACTATTGCTTTCAACAAATCACCCTGTGTCACCATCACCTGTAAAAAGTAGATGGAAACCGTGAGTGTGACCTCACCAGCATATGTTCTTTTAGCACTTAGTATCCTATTTCCTACACTTGATAGATATATTCTAAACTTGTCAGTGTGTTTAGAAAGCTTTATTCCCAGTATAGAAATCCCATAGATGTTTACCGTAACCTTTTATCCCACATTATCAATGATGATGAGAAGGAAAATCCCCATTTGTACCAAGATTTCATTATTGTCATTACATTGGTAGTAATTTATTTTCTAGTGTTGCTAGTTTTATGGAGTTTTTGTTCATACGACAATCGGTAGTCATTTTTTGACCATGACGTAACACTTCCCATTTGTTATTATCTACTTCACTATAGTATTCACATGATTTTCATCCCACCTGAATATAGTTCATTTTATAATTATTAGTTGACCTTCAGAAAACTAACAAAGCACACACATTCATGCCCCAATAAATATATATATATATATATATATATACATACATAAATCATTGTCTATACTGGGTGATGATCGAAGGTGAAATGACAAATTGGATCATGGCCGCATTCGAACCAGCTAGCACCGGGTTTCCGGCCAGACGCTCTACCAGATGATCTACGAAGTCCAATTAGAATTTGTCATTTCACCTTCAATCATCACCCAATATAAATACTAGTCCGCTAAACTACGACTACCTCAGATAGTCAAATGAGAATCATTATCTGTAGATTTTGTCTTCTCATCTCGTAAGTGTTCTGTCAATATAGATTTTATTGCATAACAAACACACTAGACTGGTAACCATTCCACCATTCCATTGAATTTGATCTCTATTCACCCATAACACTGACTGTTTTAATATAGTAATAATTGTATATGGTGACTTATTTTGGCTAATGTATTTCACTTATTCTCATTGATTTATAACTGCAGAGCTTGAAGAAGACGTTATTGTTCGCTCTAACTATCCCTGTTCTCATTTGACCATTTGAGATAACCGTAGTTTGGCAGACTAGTATTTATACTGGCTGATGATTGACCATGAAGTGAAGATTTGGATCGCGGCTGGATTCGAACCAGTGAGCATCAGGTTTCCCGCTCGAGGCTACGAGGTCTGACTGCTGATCAGATTTTTATTTCACTTCAGTCACCAAGGGTTTTTGCCCTACCATCATGTGAATTCGTGAAGCGTGACTACTGCTTGATCGTATTTACACTGGCTGCCTAGTGAGGACTCCTTGTTCTAATTCATATCTAACTGAATCCGAGAGGGGGAGCGTAATATTTCTGTTCTGAATACTCTCTAGGGATCTTTAAAGTATAAACAAAATATTAATGATAGGTCGTGCCTAGCAGTGGAATCCAGGATGTGCATTTTATCCCTTTTGGGACTCGTCAGCTGGATGTAACTGCTTTCCAGTGAGTTATGTTGTTCCCACCGGTGATGTGGTGGACAATGCGCTGGTGTTTGAAGCGATCACTCCCCAGTCCGAATCCCGGTGGGAACAACATCACTCACTAGGAAGCAGGTACATCCAACTGATGAGTCCCGAGTAGGACGAAATGCGCATCCTGGATTCCACTGCCAGCCACGATCCATCATTAACATAATTATAACACTGGCAATATCGAGGCATCTGCACAGGAGCCCATATGCCAATAAAGACCGATCAATTCGATTCAATCAACGGCGGTATGATGTAAAAACAATTATACTATATACATAATATTTGAAAAATTATATCGCGTTAGGAAAACTGAACACTACATGGTGATGACATTATTGATAAAATGGATGGTGACACGTATTTGTGATTATGATACAACTATCTCAGATAATCAAGTCATTATGATAATAGTTGCAATATGAATGATAACAAAGAAGGTTACTTAGTACACGGAATGGTTGACAGAAGGTATATAACTCAGAAAGAGGTAGGAAAATTGATGAAAATGGTAACTCAATCAAGTATTATGTAATAGGATTAGACAAGTTGATCAAGATGAAGTCGATATTTTCTAAGATGATTAAGACGATTAAGTGAAGTAATACCGGAAACTAATAGAAATGAAGTGATAAAGGTTAAATCAAAAAAGAGGAAGGGAAAATAATGAGGGTGGGAAAGTGCCACAGCCATGGTAAAAACATTGACTGTATACACTTCTTTTTTACAGACAGATCAGGTTTTTCTTCACGGCAAGACTTCAGCTGAGTTTTATCAGCCCTAAAGTATTCTCCTTTTTTGTTAAAGATAAGGTTCCTCGTCTGACTGCCATTATATGCATCTACCAGTTCACCTGCTGTTTTGGAGCAATGTAGCCACAGAATGTTTTCTACATGTATTGGAGAACGTGTTCCAGCGCTTTTTGACAGACTTATAACTGAATATTAAGTACCACCAAAATAATCGAGCTGGTTTAGTGCCAGAAACACTATTGCATACCGTTTTTAGAAGAGAGTGTACAATTGGCCGAATTCCAGTTTCCTCTGAATTTAAAAAGACATATTGATGTCAAGTTGTTCTTCTTCATAACTGGATACTTATTTCGGTAGAATAAGTTATCAAATATAGGTTTTCATGAAATATTTAGCATTGTTTCATATGATATTCAGTTCACCTATATAGTGACAATGGATCGTTTGTTGAGTGATTTTGAGGTACAGGTTTGAACCATAACTTCAACAATATACGATTCATGGAAACCGTTAGAAAACTGAACGTGTTAGTTAGGAAGTCCATGTAGCTGTATCACATTGTTGCTGAAATTCATCATCCAATATTACTGAAGGTTCAAAGAAAAATGACATTCATTTCAAACGTTCAGACCAATCGTTGTCAGCTTTCCCATCACATACATTTTCAGAGAAACGTTCGTAACTCATATAACACACTTACCATATGTTTTGAAGTAAACAGACCAGCCATTGAAAAATCTCTAAAACCAAGTAAATCTCCAAATATACCTTGCAAATGAATGCTTTCATGTATCAGACCAAGATTGTGGACATCTTTTGTGTTGGTACGAAAGCCTCACAAAATAGTCGTGGCATTATGATTTCAGCCACTGAGTCTAGATAGTTGAAGACAAGTAGGATCGATGGAATGTGGACAGTGACGACGATTATAAAGCAATGATGCCTTATAAAGCCTCTCAAACATTTTCACATTATAACTGATGATCAGTTTTTCAGACAACAGCGGTGATTCAGTCAATTCTAGGCTGGTATAAACTATAAAAATATTTATTTTTAATATTTATTCATCCATTGGGTTCCTAGCGGAACACTGCACTTTACTAGCACGTCGCCATTTCACTCTCTTCCTTCAAGTCTTGTTAACCTGGCTACACCACTGCCCACAAGCTTTCATTTCTTTCTCCAACAAATCTCCTCCATGTCACCCTCGGCTCAGACACCCAACTCGTCGTCTCCCTTTTGGATTCCACTCGATGGCCAGTCCTGACCTGGCACGTGATATCCCCAAACGGTCCACTC